CCTCATCCTCTGGATTCGTGAGATTGAGATGGCCATGAGATCAGCATGATCAAGCTTGACCATCAAAATGTATCGCTGGCTATCTCAAAGCTTGATGGAAGAGCTAGAGAATGCGCCTTGACGTGTAGCACGACGGTTTACTCAGCTTTTCCTACATCGGAGTCGCTAAAGTCACAACTGGGACAGGTATTCTTACCATCTAACCAAGCTTACCGCGTGCGTTCACGCTTCTTGTCTTCCCGTCAGGGTAATTATAAGTTATCGGACTATCTCCAAGAGCTGCAAACGCTCATGGCTGCAATGCAGTCTGACCCTCTGCCTGAGGCAGTCCATGTGACTATCTTTATGGAAGATCTACGTACTGGCATTGCCAGAACCGAGGTTTTTCGGGTTTACCCCTCTACGTTTGAAGAGGCTGTGAGACTTGCTCTTATTGCTGAGCATAACTTCAAGTCGGCCAGACTTGGTTGGAATGGGTACAATTCTCGCTCTGTGAGAGCAAACTATTCGGGTACCACTACCTATAATAGGCCGGACCCGATGGATCTCAGCTATGCTGAAGATGAAGGTGAAGCTGAGCTTCAAGCTGCTGAGCAGCAACACGTCGTACGACGATGTTTTACGTGCGGAAGCACTTAACACTTGCGGCCTGGTTGCCCTTTACGTAAGCAACGCCAGGCCACAAGCCAACATCCAACCCCGAGTCACAAGTCTGGTATGGCACGGGGAATGCCGACACCCAGTAGACGCGGGGCGCCCTACCGGAGAAGAACTAGGTTATGTTACACCTTTAGAAGGTAAAGGAAGGCAGGGCTTAGCCCCAAAGGGTATCATACCTAGGGGTATGGTGCGTGGATTCAAGTCTGGCTTGTTGGTCGCCGAGACGAAATTAAGGGCTTTGAGAAGCCTTGGTCAATATCGATCGATTCTGGAGCGTCTTGCAATTATGCTCGACGCCGTTCCCTTGAGGAAAGTCAGCGTTTTGCAGAGGCGCTTACAGCGCATGAGGGTGATTTTATCACGGTTCGTTAAGCGACTGGAAGTCGTGTTACTGTGCCTTAGGTCCCTTTGACCTTAAATATACAATTTTTAGAAATTGACAGCATTGAACGCTGTCTTATCCTTGATTTGGACTCAAGATATGGTCTTACCATTGTAATGGCTTGTATTAAACGCCGTGATCCATGTATTGATTGGAGATCTAAGACCTTAGGCGCCGCGCGCAACGTTCCTAACGAAGTTTTAAAGAGTCGGGAAACCACCTTCGCCAGGCAACAGAAGCACTATTGGCGTGAGCCCTTGGCAGAAGATGTCAATGTGCTGGACGTCAGTATGGCTAATCTCGTTGAGTTGTACGATGTCGAAAACTTTATTTACGATCCAAGTCCTATGACTAATAGTGATACGGCACGTACTCCGTTGACTGTTACTCGTTGTGATACCGAGTCACTGCAGGCTGAAAACATGATTGGCCTAGGGCCGGATCTTTAAGGAACGGTTTCACCGATGTGTGTGAGGTGGTACGTGAAAATTCACCGAGTGTGGTCGGCTGTGAAGGCACTACACTTAATGCCGGTAATGACATTGCTAGCGAAACGCCTTTCAGTTCAGGGCTAGGCCCGCATACTGCACGTGAAGTGGCACGTGGAAATCCACTGGGCGAAGAGTTCGAGTTACGTAACACTTCACCGGATGCCGGTCAAGACATCAGCTCTAGTATAGAGCGCACTACTGTTAGTAGTAATAAAGGGGACGGTATTGTCCCGACCCCTAAGGGGTGCAAGGTCTCCAAGAGACGACTTGGGTGCCAGGTGGCGACTGTAAAGCGCCAGGCGTACACACAGTCACTGAGTGATAATTGTTGTATGCTTTATACGCTTGTTCACGGAGTGACTGGTCAGGTTGATGGCAATGTTAGCCTTGAAACTCTTCCATCTTTGGATTCTCTGTGTGAGCTAGACAAAATGTCTGATGGCGAGTTTAGTCATGCCTTACAGGCAGGGATTTATCCGAGTTAGTGGTCATTAGACCCGATGATGAGTTGAACTCGTTCTTATTAATGGATGAGCCTGTCCTAGAAGACACAAAAGCGGCAATTAGTGCGCAAAGTGGATCTTCGATCCTTAACGATCCTTTGGATCCTTTATATCCATTAATCAAGGAATTTAAAGATTTGGTGTATTACAGTCTACCATCATAACACCTGGTAGAGGTGTACGTCATGAAATTGATTTAGTTCCAGGAACTAAATACTGCGTTACACGGCAGTGGACTTTGACTAAAGAACAGTGTGACGTCATAGACGATTTCTTTCGTTCTAAGCACGCGGCTGGAATAATTCGTATATAAAATCTCCCTATTCAACAACAATACTTTGTGTCAAGAAGCCAAATGGCAAGTGGAGCAGTGTGCATGCTTTAAATAAACTTAATGCAGCCACTATACCGGCGCAGATGCCAATTTCTAGGTGGATGTTCATCAGAGCAGTATGGCAGGGTGTACATTGTAAGGTGCACTCGACTTAGTCGATGGACATTAACAGCTGATCATGCAAGCGAGTGATATTCCGTTAATAGCGGTGAGTACTTCAAGCGATATACTCGGGTAGTGGCTCGTTATGCCACAAAGGCTGTCTAACGGCCTGGCTTTTTTTAACTGTCTAGTGACGCAATTGTGTAGACCTCATCGAGGTTACGCACAAACGTACTTTGACAACATCTTAAACCATAGTCTTGCAACGCATGGTCGATCAGATGTGAATAACCACATTGATCATTTACGAGTGGTGCTCGAGTGCATACACACAAATAATTTGTACGCTTACGCGTTTAAGTGCATCTTTAGTGCAGAACAAATCCCTTTCTAGGGGGCTTCGTCGGATAGCGAGGCCTTCTAGCGGACCCCACTTAGGTTAAGGCCATCGTCGTTTGACCGGTTCCTAAGAACCAAAAGGACTTACGTTAGTAATTTGCCTTGCCAATTACTTGCATAATTATAGTGCGAATTACGCAGACATGGCTAAACCATGATCCGATCTCTTGAAAACGGATGTGGATTGAAGTTGGGGTCATGCCGAGCACGATGCTTTTAAAGCGGTTAAGGAGAGTCTCCTTCATGCGCTGATTTAGGCTTTGCCCAATCCTGATCGGTCCTTCAGTATCGTCTGTGTAGCATCTGACTCTTTTATTGGCAGTGCTCTGTTACAAACAGATATATTATGGACGCGAGCGCGTCATTGCGTTCGAGTCTCGCCAGCTTAGAGCTGCTGAAAAGAACTATCCAGTTCATGACAAAGAACTACTTGCTGTGAAGTATGCTCTAGTCAAATTTAGAGTAAATCTGCTTGGCTTTAGGCCTTTTGTGATCTATACAGATCATGCGTCATTGCGCATCGTGACACAGTCGCCGCATCTCTCTCAGAGAATGGCTCGTTGGCTTTCCTTCTTTGCCGAATATAATTCTGGGGTGAATTATAAGCCAGAAAGCAAAATGCCTTGGCTGATGCGCTATCGCGCCGACATGACTATGTGCTTGCTCATGTTACAACACTGTCATCATCAGTCCCTGACTTGATTTGTGCGGCTTATGCCAAGGATGACCAATGTGTAGCTTTGCTACGAGCTCTTGGTAACGATGAATTCAAGTACTCAAACATAGACCTGTTGACACGCTTACGTGCGAGGCTACATCGATATTCTATTCAAATTGGCCTGTTATGCTATCGCACAGATTTTGAGGATACCCCTTGTATCGCTGTTCCTTATGATGAGGAGTTAGAGTATTAAATCCTCTATGAGACACATAATGTCGATTAAAGTGGTCATCCTGGTCGTGAAAAGACCTATGCCAAATAATTATTGGTGGTCAAAGATTTACAATTTACTATGGATGAGCACCAATGTGCGTACGTGCAAAACGTGTCAACGGGTCATACCCTCAGCACATGCGGATGCGCCGCTAGCTAGTCCGCCTGTACCCACTAGGTGTTGGAAATCCATCAATATGAATTTTGTGTTCGGCCTACCAAAAGATTCGGAAGGCAACACTGGTATTGTGGTCTTTGTTGACCGTTTGAGCAAGATAGCTCATTTATCGGCTGCGCCGGATACGATCAATGCTAAAGGTATGGCAGAGCTGTTAATTAATTGTCTGTTTTAACAACATGGTTTTCCTGTGGCAATTGTCTCTGATAGAGATCCCTGCTTCACTGGGAAGTTTTGGAAGTAAATCTTCAAGGTGCTTGGCATCCGATCGGACATTTTAACGGCGGATCATCCGTAGACCGATGATCAAATTGAGCGCGTTAATAGCGTCATTAATGACATTTGCGCAGTGTTTGCGCTGATAAGCCACGGCGTTGGAGCTCAATGCTTCCCGCTGTTTATTTGCGTTGACCAACGCCGTTCACGCCTCCACAGGCTTTACTCCGTTTTACGTAAACTGTATCACCCACTCTTGCGCTCCATCAACGCTACCACTCTGTGGTTCAGGGCTTGGTGGGGGAGAGGTTGCCGATCAACTTGCTGATATCACCCCTGCTACTATTCAAAAACAGGTAGGCGAGTTTCTCGTAACGCGATTGGATGTCTTACGACATGTGCGTGACGCAATGGCTGATAGCCAAGATTAACAAAAGCAACAAGCTGATGCCAACGGCAGAAATTGTATTGAGAGTTATGAGGTTGGAGACCAAGTATTACTCAATGCTTAAAACCTACTGTTAAATGTAGTGTCTGCTGTCTTCAAGACAAACTCGCGTTTACGCTTCATTGTACCATTTACGATCACCGCCAAGAAGGGCCTTGCGTATACGCTCAACCTTTCACGCAAATTGTGTACACACCCCAGTGTTCTACGTAGGCGCAATAAAGCCGCAACGGGATCCTTCTATGTGAACGTTAAGGCGCTGGAGCCGACATCGAGGGCGGTGCCCCGGATTGCTGCAAGCGAATCAGCAAGTCTAATTGAGCCTTACTCCGAGTTTGAGCACGATAGATCGCCTAAAGGCGGCCCTGAATCGCATCACGCATGCATCGGGTCTCCCCTAGGTTCTCTTGAAGACCCTTCACTTCTAGAACCAATTCCTCGTGGACTGCCACCGGTACACCGGCCACCACCGACGCTGCTCGATGAGCAATGGTGTCTTCAGTTTCCTGTCGAGAGACTTCTGAAACGACGTCGCCGTCATGGCCAATACCAGTATCTGGTAAATTGGCGTGGGTACCCTGAGTCTGGAAACTCATGGGAATAAGAGGTACCCTACGGCAAGATTAACCTTATGCTTTGGATGTTTTTGAACATCGTGGACAAGGTCATCTTGAGACCTAGACCGTTTCCACCACTAGTGGTGTGGGTTGGAGGGTTAGTGGTCATAGTTTGACCAACACTCGCGGCTACCGTAGTAGCCGAAGCATATCGTGTAGGATTACGCAGTTGGCCTCTGGCCTTAAGCTTGGCATAGTCATATCGAAGCTAAAATTTGAGACGCACATCAGCCACATTGGTGCTAGCTCTTAAAGCAGACATACCTCTGAAGCGACGCATGCGGTGCACCCAGCGAACGAAGGCATTGTCTTCTTCGCTATCTGTTTTGCCTGCAAACAAGAGAATGGGTACACCCTTGATCAGTGGGACCGGTGCACCATGTGCTTGCATGTCAAGGCGTGCCTTGCATCGACCTTGGGTCGTTAGGTGAGGCTTCAGGTACCTCTCGCGAAGTGACTGGACGCTTGCTACCTCCTCAAGAGACTAAGGCCTGTGGTCAATGATCCACGTTGCCAACGATTGGCCGGCTTCTTGACGCAAGCGTTCCTTACAACTGGGTGAAGTGAACACATAGTCACGTTGGTGCTCGAGGGTTGCGATTATTTGCGCAAGGCGCCAATTGCTTTCTCGTTGTTAAAAGGGTCTTTGCTGCTCACCAAGCGGGTTCGTGATGATAGTATCATCCGAACCGAGCGTTGGGCGTGGCGTCAATGGAGAAGTCTCATCATCACGTTTAGGGAATGGACAGGAAAAAGCACGAGGTTATACCTCAGACATGGGTGTATCGGACATTGTCCCTGCATCACCCGGCAAAATGGATTTGCTACCATAGTCCAGTATCTCCCCCATTTTGAGGTAATCACTGAGAGTCTTTGACTCGTTAGGTGATGAGGACATCGTGCTAAGCTTTACGTTACCGTGAGGTGAACTGCAACTGCACTGACCACGTAGAAGAACACAGTTCGATGGGAACATTCGATTGAAACAAGGTTCGATCGACGCTTTGGAAAATGTCAGTTTAGTGATGGACGGTGTAAACGGGTTACACGTAGTTGGGTACCTGGTACCCTGTGTCTTAGACACACGGATGATCTACCGCTGAAAGAGATATCGAATATCTTATCGGTTTTTAGGGGCTGACTGGTGCCAGCCACTAGATAGGAGAGATCTTAGTTGTATTAAGATCTGGACATCAGTGTCTAGAGTAGGATTAAGATATTCGATAGGTTTACATGGAAAAAAAATTCAGTTCCTCTTTTGATCTTAAAGACACTTGCCTTGCGATGTAACGGGGTGAATCGTTACATAACAATTTATAAGAAATTGTTAATAGAATATAAGTATAAGAGTTATGTTCTCAGAATATTGTCATAAGGACAAATATTCTGTAGCACTTACGAGTAGTTCCTAATTGGTTGATATAGGCCATTATATCAACCAACGAAGACGCGCCACGACAGACGCACGCAATGAGTGGTGAGCAGATAACTGATTTACACATTTGTATTTAGACATAGTTAGATGAAGATAAATAGTGATTTATTGCAGACATTAACTATTATAAATATAGTTCTACTTTTTACTCTAACCAAGTACTCGCTTCTTCTTACCGTCTTCCTCTGCACGTACGAGTGTACGTGAAGTTACGAGGCACCGCCTTATTCTGTCATCAGAATAAGTAGCTTGTACTGTCACCAGTACAAGCTTCAGGGTGCCCCGTTACACCTGGTAGCACTTCGTAGTCCGTCCAAGGACCGCGTTCACATCCAGCATGAATATGTTGGATGATGAAGATGACCAAAGCTTTCACGCTACGCGTGACGGCTACTCCCATTTGAGCAATGTCGAATGGGATGCGGTTGAACGTATGGGTTCAACCATGGGCATCCATGCTGTTAGCGTCATGCTAGAGGCTCTTAATAGAGATGCCCAACATGCTACTATCGCCAAGTTCATTCAAAATGAACTTGACGCAGAACGTGAGAAAGTAGCCTTGCTTCACCAACAAGGCTCTCAACAAGCAGAGTTGTTGAGAGAACAAGGTACTCAACAGTTTGAACTGTTGAGACAGCAGCAGGCTGCTGCTGGCGGGTCGATGCACTCGCGTCGACCCGAGACTTTGAAGATTGACATCTCAAAGTATAGGGGGGTCGAAGAAGACTCCCTCTTGAGATGGTTCGTCGAATCAGACGAAGCCATTAGGGCGCGTCGCATCGACGACGGGGATATGCAAGTTGCATTTGCCCAGTCAAATCTGGCAGGACGTGCCAAGACTTGGGCACTGGGGCTCAAGTTGCACGACCCATATGCGTTTGGGTCGTTGGAAGTCTTCAAGTCGCGGCTCAGACAAACGTTTGAACCGCCTAGAGCTGAGTTCAGGACTCGAACCGAACTCTTGAAGCTCAAACAGGGTAAGCGTGATGTGCACGCTTACGCCCAACATATACGACATCTTACGAGTTGTATAAGTTCCAATCGGGTGGATGAACACACGTTGGTTTCGGTGTTCATTCAGGGTCTTGCGGATGGTCCCGTCAAGACTCACCTGTTCCGGCTTGAACTAGATTCACTAGAACAAGCCATTTCCATTGCGGAGCAGGAAGACTTCAGTCTGAGACAGGCTCGCGCCAGCTCGACATCATATCGTCAACCGAGACGATATGACAACGGAGGTCCAGAGCCGATGGAACTCTGTTATGTAGAGAGCGAGAAGGCTCGCTCTACAGGCTACAAGAAGTTGCAGAGATGCAACAGATGTCAAAAGACAGGACGCTACGCTTACGAGTGTAGTGCCCCTCGTCCAGTGTCTCGCGACACTGGGCGTAGTGACCGTCCACCCATGAGAAAGGGGCAGGGACGAGGGTCCGCAGTTGGTGCAAAGACGCAACAACGGGATGGACCGTCAAAAAACGGACAGGATCAGTAGGTGCGGAGCACCCTACTGATCCAGCAACGTCAAGAGAATTTGTAGGCCTCTTGATGAAGGTTGCTCCCAACACACAGACATTGTGCGTTGCTGCTCTAGGTAATGAGATCTCACTCATTACCTTGAAACTCGAAGTGACGAATAAGTTGTCCCTTCGAGCTCTAGTCGATTGTGGGGCGTCCAACAATTTTGTGCGACGCCAATCGCTAGAAGATGGTCACTTTAAATTCAGTGAATGTGACACACCTCCTACGAGGATGACGGTACGTCTTGCGACAGGCGCATCCGTAACCGTCATGAAGCGTATAGTGAAGATTCACTATACGCTAGAAGATACCCAATACGACGATGACTTTATCGTATTGGATTTGGATGACAAATTTGATGTCATCCTTGGAATACCGTGGCTCAGAAGGTACGAACCACGGGTAAACTGGCAACATCGGACAGTAACGATGCCTGCCGCTTGTTCATCAGATGGCCATCTGATGAACGTTTTGGAGCGTCCACAAGCGTGTGGATGTACTACGAGTGAGTGCGATGGTCTCACTTGTGGTACGGTCGTTAGTACGACTGCACAAAACCTTAGTGTAACAAACAGTTACACTTCGGAGCAAGATTCCGGCGGCTGTGAGGACACACAGGCTGCGCCGAAGGTCCACCCCTCGAATAAGTCGAGTGGACCGGGACAAAGATGTATCCCTAGCGGGGAACATCTAGAAGAGAAACAATCGATCGCTCAGGTTAAGCGAAACGATAATCCTAGATCGACTGTAGAGTCTTTCGTAGAGGATCTCGCTGTGGTTGTGCAACCCCAGCTAGAGGAAGTAAAGGGAATAAGTCCCAAGATTACAAATACGGCGGAAATAAGTTCCCCGAAACCCGCGGGAATAAGTCCCCGGGAAGACGAAGGAATAAGTCCTTCGAAGCCTGAGGGAATAAGTCCCCAGGAAATGACAGAGACATTGAATGTCATAGTCAATAACGGATCAAGTGTAGGCGCTTATACACTTGATCTGATTGCGCCTCCGAAGTTAACTTCGGAGATCACTCAGTTGCCAACGCTCGAACATAAAAGGTTCTTGCGTGATCTGCGTAGTGGCAAAGTCAAGCAGATCTGCATACTCGTCGCTGACGACGAGTGTGTAACCGACATAAGGTCAGCAACAGTGTTCACTGAGAACGAGAGAGTTCTCAGTAGTTCATCTATGGACGAGAGTGTCCGAGATGAAAAGACACGAATTGAGCGATATGACTCCCAATCATGGGAATCGCTCAAGAAAAATCCTCTCTATGAAGATTTGGTTGAATTCAAGGATGTATTCCCTGAAACTGTTCCGTGCGAATTACCGAAGGATAAAGTTATTCGACACGAGGTCGAGCTTAAACCAGGCTCGAAGTACTGTGTCATGAAGTAGTGGCCACTGCCTCGTGAACAAGTACTTGCGATCGACAAGTTCTTTGCCGATCGTTTAGCTGCGGGCCATGTGAGGGAATCAACTTCCCCACATAGCTCTCCGACCTTCTGTGTGCGAAAAGCAACAGGAGGGTGGCGGATAGTGCACGCGTTCAACAAATTGAACGCTGCAACGGTACCGGCTCAGACGCCGATACCGAGGAAGGACGTAATCATTGATGGTATGTCAAAGAGTACCATCTTTTCGTCCATGGATTTGATGGATGGCTTCTATCAAATCCTTATGCGGGAACGGGATATACCCTATACCGCAGCTAGCACGCCTAGCGGCATGCTCTGGGAATGGCTAGTAATGCCACAAGGGCTCAGTAATGCCCCTGCCACGTTCAACAGATGTGTATTACATCTGTTGAGACCAGTACGAGAATTCGCGCCGAGTTATTTCGATGACGTATTCATCCATAGTCGAGCTATGGATGGAAAGTCGGACGTTGAGGTTCACAGGTACCACGTCCGACAATTTCTTACAATCATGCGAAAGCATCAATTGTATGCTAACCTCAAGAAGTGTATATTTGCAGCAAGCGAAATACCACTTCTTGGGTGCATCGTTGGTAAGAACGGTGTACGTCCTGATCCCGAAAAGATCAAGGCGATCACCGACTGGCCTGTGCCGGTCGATGTCAAAGGTCTTCGAAAATTCCTTGGGCTAGCGGCGTATTTGCATAAGTATTCACGCGATTACGCCGAGATGACTGTGCACCTCTCTCGTTTGTTGAAAAAGAACGAGAGGTGGTTATGGAACGCTGAATGTCAACGCTACTTTGAGGGTATCAAGCAGAGCTTGATACAATCCCCAGTCCTAGCAATAGCCGATCAGGACAGGCCATTTCATGTGGTCTGTGATGCCAGCGATTTCGCAATCGGCTGTGCATTAATGCAGTACGATCTTGAAGGCGTTGAACGCGTCGTCTGCTATCAGTCGCGTCAGCTGCAACCAGCTGAGCGGAACTATCCAGTGCATGACAAGGAACTCCTTGCCATGAAGTATGCACTCGCGAAGTTCAGAGTCTATCTATTAGGAGACAGACCCTTCGTTGTTTACACTGACCATGCGTCATTACGCACGGCAGTGAACAGCCCGCACCTTTCACAACGAATGGCGCGGTGGTTGTCATTCTTTGCGGAATACAACTTTACGGTCGAGTACAAACCAGGACGACTTAATGTCGTTGCTGATGCACTCTCACGTCGTCCCGACTTTGAAACAGTCGCGAAACCCAACAGTGAGACAGTCACTGTTGCGGTTATGACGTCCTCAGTCCCATCTACAACATTGTATGATGATGTGAGGCGGGCATACGCCCAAGATGGTGAGATAGTGAAGTTGTTGACACATCTCTCCCAACCATCTCGAGAATCGTTGAAACGATTGTCGTCTGCGTATCGATCTGCATCAGATCGATACACTACTCGTAACGGTTTACTGTACTATACAGCCGTTTCTGGTGACACACCACGTGTTGTCATTCCAGATGATACTGATCTGCGTTTGCGGATCATGTTCGAGTATCACGATGCTCCTATAGGAGGACATCGTGGCCGAGAGAAAACATATCTCACGGTGAGTCGAGACTTTTACTGGCCCCGCCAGTATCAGTTTGTGCGAAAGTATGTTCGCGCATGCGAAGTCTGCCAACGAGTGAAGTCAAGACCTTCACTGCGTGCACCTTTACAGCCTCTACCGGTTCCGGCTGAGTGCTGGGAATCCATCTCAATGGATTTCGTCTTCGGGTTACCCAAAGACGCACGCGGGAATACGGGTATTCTCGTATTTGTTGACAGATTCAGCAAAATGGTACACCTTGTGGCTGTACCAGAGACAATCACGGCAAGTGGCTGTGCTTGTGTCTTTATTGACACCATCTTCCGACTTCATGGGTTGCCCCGTGAACTCGTATCAGACAGAGATCCACGATTCACTGCTGATTTCTGGCGTTCCGTGTTCAAATCACTCGGAACGCGCTTGAAGATGTCAACATCTGATCATCCAGAGTCAGATGGTCAGACGGAACGTGCCAATCGTGTCCTCGAAGAGATACTTCGAGGATACGTACACTCCTTTAAGAGTTAGAGTGAGTTCTTGCCAATGGTAGAGTTTGCCATCAACAACTCGGTGCATGCGTCCACGACACATACACCGTTTTACGTGAATGGCTTGCGCCATCCGCGTGTACCCACCTTACTAGAGTGTGACTCTGGTTTAAGGGGGGGAGGGACTCGCGCGAGCAAAAACCGATTTGGTTCACGCTCATCACGCTCTGACGAAGAAGTCATTGCGTTTGATGCCGATATCGATAACATCGATATCGAAGAATATGATGCCAGTGAGAGTGCGGAAGCCCTCACTGAAGAATATGATGCCAGTGAGAGTGCGGAAGCCCTCACTGAAGAAGATGATGCCAGTGAGAGTGCGGAAGCCCTCACTGAAGAAAAGGTTGTTGTTGCTGCAGTGCGCTCACAGCACACTGAAGCTAACGAGTCATCAGATGAGTTCATACTGGCTCGTGAAACGGTAGTCCGTTTTGTGCAAGACTCCATCGCCGAAGCGGTGGATAAGCAAAAGCAAAACGCTGACAAGAATGGAAGGGCAAACACTCTTTTATTTAATAAAGGTGACTTAGTCCTTCTGTCTACGGTTAATCTACCAAAGCATGTAGTGACTAACTTGGGTAGCAGTAAACTACTACCCAAGTACATTGACCCATTTCGTGTATTGCACCGCCTAGGCAATGCATACACGATCGAGTTACCACGTAAGATGCGAACGCATCCCACGTTTTACGTTGGTCGGCTTAAGCCGTACCATCAGTACGCTGCTTCTTCCGATGAAGAACGCCCTTGCGCTCAAGCATCTCGCAGAGAGCCTTGTGCTCCCGATGGTGGGCCTCAACAAGGGTCTGAAGAGCAGCTATCTCATCCCGATACCGATCAGCAATCCCACGAGCTACCCTTAGCTCGTCACGAAGAGATGTCAGAGATCTCTCGTTCTCAAGCTGAGCAAAGGCAAACTCAGCTCGATGCTTCGAGGCAGTGTCCGCCATTTGGAGACGACTATTCCGCTCATGTTCGAGATCGTCGCGTAACCCTTGCGTTACGCGATCAAAGAAGCTCTCGGGAACACACCGATCCACATGATCGTGTGGAGAGCGTCTTTCCTCCTCCTCCACCTCAATTAGAGGACTCTCGCGGTGGCCAGCGCTATCTAGTTGAGCAGCTGTTGAACCACCGCGACGTGAACGGACGTCGGACGAGTTATCTCGTCCGGTGGCGCGGCTATCCCCCGTCCTGGGATTCTTGGGAGCCCCGCTCCCAACTGATGATCGACGTACTGGGTCTGGTTGAGCAGTACGACGCGGCACATCTTGTGCCGCAGAAGGACCGCCGGAGAAAGTCTTCCCGGCACGGTCGTAAAGGGATTTCAGGTTGTCAATCCCTTCGTACATCTCAGTAGAGACACGTACGCGCCACCACGGGCTGGTAAGGAGGTAAGCCTCCTTAGGTGCTCGTGCAGAGTTGTTCACACAACATGGGCACGAGTCTCCCCAAGAGAGGCAGGGTAATCCTTTCTCCCTTGACAGACGATGCAGCTTGTAGCGTGCACCTGTCGGGGTTCGCTTTTCAAACTTATCACGAACTCTGATAAGTTTGTCGTTCCAAGCGTCACGACCTACATCCTCGAGGTTATGGATGTAGGCGTTCCACGCCTGAAGAAGTGAGGGACCATCACGTTTGTGATTCCCACTGTACCATCGATGTCTAAAGAAAGCATCGATGAAGAATTCATTCTCAGCGCAACAGTTTTTCGCGCTGGGGTCAAGGTGATGGATCCTTGACGAATCGAACAATCGTGTTCGATAACGATCACTCGTCGTCGCCGACAAGTGATACATGACTGATTTAGGAGGCATCCATGCCTTCTTCTCAGGAGCGAGACGCAACACATTGCGGTCCCGCTCTTCCTGCGACGTGTCGACAGAAGTACTGGCACCTCGCTGTGAAGTGGTGTCCATAGGAGAACCGACACCACTATTAGCGCCCGAGTCTCGCGACCTCGAGCGCCTTCGCTTCGGCGATGGTTCATCTGATTCATCAGATGAACCAAAGATGCTGCGACGCAAAGCATCGTCCATGCCACGCTTGGCAGGCGGCTTAGATTCAATCGCCGCCGATACGGATCCGTCATCCGTATCAGGAGAGTACGAGACACCGAGCTCGTACTCTGTGAAGACACGAGTGTCTTCATGACCAGCGCCTGCATCACCAAGTGACACAGGCTGGGTCGCTTCAGCAACCGATGAGACATCAGTTGCTGTTGTTTCTGCTTCGGCGTCCGCACAGAGACGTGCAGACGCGCTCTCGGCGGCCTTGCTCGCGCATCGCATGGGCTTGTTTACCATGCGATGAGATGTTGGAAAGTGGACGCGGACCAACAAGTGCAAACCCCGTCCCAAATGATTTGGGATGAGTATCCATTTAGTCAATCAGTCACTAAAGTGACTGATGGTTAGGGGGGGGGTGATGTAACGGGGTGAATCGTTACATAACAATTTATAAGAAATTGTTAATAGAATATAACTATAAGAGTTATATTCTCAGAATATTGTCATAAGGACAGATATTCTGTAGCACTTACAAGTAGTTCCTAATTGGTTGATATAGGCCATTATATCAACCAACGAAGACGCGCCACGACAGACGCACGCAATGAGTGGTGAGCAGATAACTGATTTACACATTTGTATTTAGACATAGTTAGATGAAGATAAATAGTGATTTATTGCAGACATTAACTATTATAAATATAGTTCTACTTTTTACTCTAACCAAGTACTCGCTTCTTCTTACCGTCTTCCTCTGCACGTACCAGTGTACGTGAAGTTACGAGGCACCGCCTTATTCTGTCATCAGAATAAGTAGCTTGTACTGTCACCAGTACAAGCTTCAGGGTGCCCCGTTACATGCGAGGCGTCTTGGTCGTTGATCACTGATCGCTAAGAGTTAGCAGCACCTCCTTAATGTAGCTGGTTACTTTTGAGCACTGAAAGCTGTCGATTCACTGAATTTTTTGGTCCCCTGGAACAAGGACAATAAGCTATACGCTTGCTGACTTATTGAGTCTAGTTCTGTAGAACTAAGTTGCGTTGAGCGTTAAGTCTTCACCTGACTTAAGGAGCCGTGTAGCTTCGCTAAATAAATAATACACTCGTTTTGGCGTTGCCACCACTCATTCTAGCAGCTTGTCTTCCTCGTGAAAACGATATTGTGCCTGCTGAATGTTATGACCCTTGACTTAAAATACTTTGAATATCCTGTGAGGCTACTATTGTGTAACCATACGTGTATTGTGTCGGCACTTAAGAAGCCCTTGGTTTAGCGTGCAATATGTCACTGGCTAGATTGGAACGTTATCCTAGTAGGTCAAAGGATTGTGGTCTATGTAGTCTCCGAACCTCATGTAACTGACTAATCATGGAATTTGCAGAAAGCTGATGCCTTTTACAAACATGAACAGCGCCGATGAAATGTCAGTAACATTATATACACATATTCGTAAATGCATACTTAAACATGTACATGAAGTTGTCAACGGAGGCAGAGCTAGGGGCTACAGACCGCACATGAATGAAGCTGTATACTGCGATTGTGGGCGACATGTCGTAGGTTTTCAACCTCGATTATTGCTACTGGCGAATAGTGGGGTCGTTGCTGTGACTGAGCGCGACTTTTGTAGATCAGTGCTGTCACTTGAACTCCACGATTGTAAAGTCGATAAGCTCGTTGTCAAACAAAGGTGGATCATAGTGCCGAAACACGTCGTTATTCTCACATAATTATAAGCTGCATTTGTTCAGTCCTGTATCATCGAGCGGGCAGTTCTTGCGCCCGTGAAACTTGACTCATATTCGACTTTTATAGCTCTTACTGGAGCATCAAAGCAATGGATTGCCCGTCGTGAACCACGTTTTAACATCAGATGATTCTCAAGAGCTCAATTTTGAGAACAAACTCAATTTTTATAAAATGTCATTTTTCGCTTTCAGCGTCGCTCGCCATTAAATAGCCACCTGAGGCTTCTAGTTCATCAGTAATGGCACAAGCTGTGGCCACTTTGTCGCAGCAGCCCATCTCAACTCTTCCTACACGCATGACAGCACTGCCTACACTCCTCTCAGGGCCTGGCTCCCTGAGCTCTAGCGACGGTCGGAATCGCGCATTCGATCTGAGTCCACCCGACTCAGAATCAGACGCCTCTCTAGTACCTCCTGACGATGGCATCGACGTTCATCCCCGATTAATTGCGAGGGGAAGGGTTTTATTACAAGCATACCAAAATCAGCGGCGGTTGCAAAGAAGGGGCGAGTGTACCTCAAGAGTGGTACCCCAACATGGCTACAAGACGAACACAACGGTGTATAATTTTCAACGTTTGCTGGACTCGAGTCAGGAAAATCGCGATTTGAATTGTATCTCGCCAGAAAAGCACATTGTGGCGGTTGAAGCTCCTCCAGTGAAGACTAATGAAGTTGAGGAGGTTTTGTTTCCGCCTCTACTTGTGAATGCACCTCCACCTCGTAGAACGACTATCGGACCTGTTGTTGGGGATTTTAATCTAAAACCTTTGCCTGCTTTCAAGTTGATCGAGAACCAGCTACCACTTTTGAAAAACAAGAACGAGAAGAGCTGGACAGATTTTACGCAATTGCTCACGACCAATGGGCAGATGATGGACCTTGTCGACGCCCAGTTGGGTGAGATTTGGGCTAAGTTGGCTGCTGCCGAGGACGAGGCGTCGGAAGGTCAAACCTTGGTGGATAAGTGGAGTCAAGTAGTTGCCCAGTTGTTGCGGCAGAAACGAGATGCTGAAAAAGCACTTGCTAGATTGGTGGAGGTGCTGGGGTCACGAGCATTCTTGGCTGGAAAACTAATGGATGACGCGGTGCAATTTGTAAGCAACCAGCTAAGGCTCGAACTAGAGACATTGCATCGATTCACAGAAAAGGTAAAGCAGGAGACGGCGGTCTGCGAGAAGGAGGACCTGCATGCAAGCAGAAGTGAACGAGGTGATGGTAAAGAGTTATTGTGGAGACAGCAATTGCAGGAAAGAGTGCAACAGCTGCAAGCCAGTCAAGCTGATGTAGCAAAGTTGGAGGACCAATTGATGCAGCAGAAGAGAAAGGCAGCAGACGAAAAGACGCAGTTGCAACAAGCTCTGGAGGTAAAGCTGCGCGAAGTGGATGCTCTCTGCAGTGGTGTTGTTTTACCTGTGGACTATGAGCGTATTCGAACGGCAGAAGGTGTAGTTTGCTATCGCCGGAAAGGGTCTGATGACAGCAATGTGCTGGAAGATCCCCGTGTACCTATTGCAATCGAACTGCGCTCAGGTCGAACTTTAGCGCGTGCAGTCGACCAGGAACCTGGTCTTACCCCGGATGACATTGTGAGCGCCGTTGATGTGCATAGTCACTTGGCCCTCGATCATGCTGCCGATGGTGATGAAACGCGTCGCTCTTTCTCGACACCGCATGTCATGCAAAGCAGCGATGTGGCGGAGAACATTCACGTCTCTCTCGATGGCAGTCGCAAACATTCGATCGAAGACTTTACGCCACCACTGCCCTCTGGATGGGAGATGCGAGTGACACTTTCGGGTGCTATCTTTTTCTATAACAAATTTACGTCTACCACTGCGTGGACAGATCCGCGTCTGCTTGGAGCAGAACATGCACCATCCTCACCGAGCGATCATGCAAGCCAGGAACAGCCGCTTGTTTGCAATTCGAGTGGCGTAACGTTCGAGTCCCAGCCGTCGCGGCCTGACTCGATCACCACTCATGCTGAAAGCATGAGTGATGAATTCCACTACATCGATGTGGTGTTTAAAGATCGTGGCCCGATCGGGGTCCGTTTCCACGCCAATGTGCCAGACTTGGGCGCGACTGTGGCGAGCTTGGCACCGGACATGGCCGCTTCCGTCAAGGGTGTTATAGCGCCGGATGATGAGCTGATTGCAGTGAACAAGAATGCCGTAGATTCTGCGCCATTTCGTCACGTGATGCTGTTGCTACAAGGAGGTTTGCGGCCTCTAACGCTTACTTTTAAGCGTGCTCGTAAGGAAGCACAGCGTCCGATAGACCCTGGCTCAGCCTTTCCGTCAGTTAATGGTGGCGTTTTGATCGTTGAAAGTGGTGATGCGTCCGACACGTTGTTTGACGACGAAGGTGTGATCGACGAAGGAACAGTTGTCGACTTGGAGCAGCTCCGAGTTCCAACAGCATCACCGCATCTCACAGCTGGACATCGGTACGATAGCGAAGCGAGTATGAACGTCGCTGACGTCATCATCACGAACATCTTTTCACTCTTCTGGAAGCCAGGATCTTCAAGTGTGGACTAGTCTGTGTAGGAAGTAGCAGTGATGAGTGGGCTATCGTCGCGGCAAACTTGTTGGACCCATCATCACTCGGGGTGTTACTGTTATGCTCGGTGCTGACGCTGTTCACATGTAATTGAAATTTGTTCAATTCGACGAGTATGTGGAATGTGAGGCATGCCCAGTAACTGGCCAATGTGCTATAAAGAGATGTCTTCCACTGCTGCTGCACCTCAGACACACATAGCGGACAACGATGTTCTAAAAATGACACCTGCGATCGATGCATACAGCTATGCACAACCCAGATTCGAATAAGGAGTAGGCGTCACCTTCAGCCTTATCGCACTTTTGTTGGCGACAATGGTGTATGCTCTCCCACGCACTCGTTTTCGCAACATCTTGATTGTGACCTCACTGATTTCGTGGTAAACGTATCCGGTGATCTATCCAGCGAACCGCAAGCTACATTTCGATGAACGCCTGTTAGTTCTAAACGAAAACCACACGCGTTTATCTTGGAGTCAAAAGAGCATCTGCAGTTATCATAGCTGCACTCTGTCGCTTCCGGTACAAGCTGCGCAATAGTATTGCTGACATGGCAATAGCCGTTCCACGGGTAGTCAAAAAGCAGTCTAGTTCATTCATGCTTCGAAACTCTTATCAATTGTGAATACATTCCCTTTGACCCAGTGTCTACTTCATGATCGTACAGACATTCAAGGTGACATCATGTTAACTTAGGCACGTTGTATGTGAATACACTTCACTTTCTTACTCACAGATGCCTGGGTACAACAGGACATCGATCTCACGAAGTTGAGGTGCGTGGTGTCAGACTTTTATCGCAACCCGATTACGCCAAGCGCCTACTCTGTAGTCTTGGTCAAGCGATTCTTCATCGCCCATACATGCGTATCCGGTTCTCATTCTACAGAGGCGATCACCCACCTGAGCTGGCGATAATCGACCTGCAACATTTGACGTTACAGATTCACGTGGACAAATTCCTATTCTAGTAAGTCGGACGTTGCACACGACTCCTAGCCACCGCCTCTAACTCAAGCATGCTCAACCGGTGCAGCCTCCGCTGCCCACCAGGACCGAATGCCTTAAAAAATGCACCAGCTGGACGGAGTGCGATCGGGGGTCTAATCTTCGTGAGCAATTATGGAGTCTTGGGGCTGTGTGACCGTGAATGTGACGGACCAGCTGCTTCTTATGTTGTTTTCACTTCCCAACAGCGAAGCGAGGGTGATTAACAGCGTTGCCTACGTAAGTGTGATATCGTCTGGGGTTCCCGCCTGGTGCCTTTGGTAATCATCGCTGTCCCAATCCAAATGAGAGAATCCAGTAAGTAGTGGACATCCGGTTGGGGATGTGTAGGCACCACCAAAGGGGGCAGAGGTTGGTCGTTAGAAATACTAAACGTACCTACTGCACCTGCAAAACAAAGTGATATCAACGGCGACGTGAAGGAGAGTTCTGCGAATGAAGGTATCAAATTGATCTCGAAGAGCGCGTGATGTAGTGCTTCTGTAGTTTTCTACAAGTAAGCTAATCCCACGGTGACAAACGTGTCATTGTAACAGCTCAGGCGTACATAGCCTCCGTTCTTTAAACTGGATTGATGGTCGAGAATAAGCAGCTTCGCGATCGGATAAGGAGTTCGATTCCCAAAGGTTCCCTCCCACCTGACGACAGGGCGCACAGCTTTCGTACGTTTTCATGACTTTTCGCATCACTAACCTCGTCAGATATTGATGCTACAACGCTACATAAACCATTGCGGACACTCGTTTCAGACCTGAAGTAAAATCAGTCACAAATTAAATGCTTTGGTCGGTGGGGTCTATCTCAGAAGGCTTCTGCTGCGTTATCCGTCTTCAAACGTCATTCAACCGGCGCGGCATAATCTGCACCGATCGGCACATTATGCATTTGTCATGTTGCATGCATAGTGTGATGTGAGCCTCGGTTTCATCTACAGCGAACACCGTATGCCCTGGGATATCCTCCTTCCTGACGGGACCTTTGATAAGTCTTATCGCTGTCGAGAAGCTTCCGACATTGCTACTATGCGATGCCTTTACGATCGCGCCTACACCCGTACTCCATATCGGTTTTCTGTTACATCGGATGCACCTTGACATATTGCATGATGAGGCTTTGAGCGCCCCATCCATCACTTGGTATTGTGTCGCTTTCGTTTCCTGCGAGAGCAAATGATCGGATCAGCGGACGAGGTACATCGTCCGACGACCAAGCGCTGCGCGAGTAGTCGCCGACTGACCACGCCTGTCCATCAACAGATGGGTGGAAAGGTGAAAACAGGTAAATACTCCACTGACTGCACAGAAATCGCGCAGCCCGTGTGTTTAGCATAGAGTTCGTTCACGAGTAGGACACATGGCACCACAGGATGTACCACTAGCATCGTCACAAGATATCGAAAGACCGACCAGTTGTAAGTTTCTGATGTTTGTCTCGAAACCGATCGAGTGCAATGTACACTCAGGGATGAGCTTATATTTTCTTGTCACGACATGTGTTCAAAAGTCATCAAAGTATCTTTGTTGATCAAGCAGGTTGCGAGCTTGATTTATGACAATTGCTATCCACTAGGGGGGTCTTGAACGTGCAGTGGTCGCCGTCTGAGCCACTAGTGGCGTGCTGATGATACAGCGGAATGCCACACGTAAAGGCAAGATGCATGTGCATCCTGCGCAATGACCTCATTCGGTACGGGCGCTACCTTCATGACGCAAGACACGGGAGGCCAGAGTGACAAGTGTGACGCCTGTTGACGGCCTAGCATACATCGGCTGGTCCCGCAGTGATGTTGCTTTACGACACATCACAGCGAAACATGAGCAGCAAAACACGTCTGGTGCCGAATACTGGCCATGGTATCACCATCCATAAGCAGCAACTATTGTAGCGTAGCAACCTTAACGCAAAAAGCCACGTGCTCGATGCACAAAGCAAACAAAGCTGGTACGTGTGGCACGTACACTGTCTGAATGATTGGCCAAAACCATCAGGGGTTGAGTGTCACCAAGGAACTCACCCACTTTGCCAATGCCACCCGTAGAGCATTAAGCATAGACCAATTGCCAGCGCATCCGCAAGCGCACATTTGATAACGAGGCCGACGAGAACTCGATTGGCGCCACTTTACCGAACACGTACAGACGACTCTTTTGTTTCCCAGTGTGGTCAATCAGCGGCCTTAATTCCATTACAGCGACGCGGCAATGTGATTGTCCTCAAACGTTGGGACCACGTTTTTCGATAACGACTGGTTTAACGGAAGCCTCTCTCTACATAGTGGACAGCAACAGGGGCTATTCGCTCTCTTACAATGTAAAAACGGCCGCATGAGATCCGCCAGAGCTGCTGGTCAGGTGGTGTCGACTGCTCTTCGACTGTCGTAGGGCAGACTAGTGAGAGGGAGGGGTTCGCGTTTGTTAAATTAAGGCTGTCAATGCTTTTGAGCTTGCATAAGATCCGAAACATTTGAGTTTGCGTATGAAGAAGCAGCTGGTCGTATGCACAAGTTGCGCATGCGTCGGCGATTGCCTCCTCAAGTGTATCATTGTACGGCGAGGCCTCTCCTCCCTCTGCCTCTGCGTGTTACTGCGCGCATTTGCGCTCTGGTCTTTCGAGCGTTGGCTTCCGATAGTTCATTCCGCATTTTACCACATACCAACTAGTGCACCAACCTCAGCCACGATGCACATCTCCAGCGGACTACTCATCTCCATTGCTGCGATCGCCTCTACGTCGGTTTTCGGCCAAATTTGCACGAAAGAGGTTGAAGGGTGTGGGCTTATGGGCGTGATGATACTCAACCGGTACAACGACCGGTGTACTGATGAAGGCAGGGGCAATGAGTGTTGCACGACGAAGTGCAAAATGGCTCGATGCGGCGTTATGCCAGGGTGCGTACAGGACGAGGATTGGAACAAGTCTGACCGCTATTCAACGGCATGTGACCACGAAGATGTCTATCATGGTTGGGATTTTCTTGCTTGCTGTTCGTGGAAGTGCAACAATCCTGGCGAGTAATCAACGAGGTCACGCCCTCGGGATTTGAACTGTACGTTCGCCAACCCTCCATCTCGTTGGACGTTTTCTATTGCAGATGGGAGCCGCCCATCTCGTCCTTCCGTTGCTGCGCTCGTGTGGTCGCGGAGCATCCCCATGATCACAAGACGACGGAAAGGTCGATAAAAACTAAACACATTGACGTTTTACTGTGCAATCCAGTTTTATTTTCTTATCGTTGTGGTCGTGCCGCGGTTCATACAGCACTAGTGGTCGCCTCTTGCATTCTCTACGACGATCAACGTTCTAATAGCTGCTGTGTGTCGTCTTGTTCAAAAAATGTCTTTTGTCCACATCCATACGGTGATCGAGATTTTAATTTGCATTTGCATATGTCGTTGTGCGACACCGCGGTCGAGAACAGATTCAGTAGTGCTTTGTGATCAGGCAATACTGCTGTAGGGAAGAATGTGTTGATCTCACGTCGTAGACGTGACCCTCAGGTGATGCAATTGCAGGTGTCTCGGAGGCTGCAATTGCGCGACGATTTTTATCAGGCGTGTTGCCTTGCGCATGTAACATTGTATGGCAAGAGGTGATTGTATGATTCCAAGAGTATGATAAGAGGGGTGTAGTCTGGAACGACATGCTCTGCAGTCAAAGACCTTTCCATTCTTGTACTCATCCATTGGCTAAGCTTCGGTGGCTTCTCTCCTACTTACATCTATGATTTGCCAGTCTTCACACACCATTAATGTCCAACATCCATAAACACCACAACCGAAGCATATCGTCATGTATCCTGAGTAAAACCGACTCCCGGTAGTAGCCGGCATGTCACAGCGGTCAGCAACAGCATTGATGTTATGATATGCAGATAGGGCGTCAGTACACACACGTGCTCAGCGGTCCTACAATGTGTAACTCGCATTTGTGATGGGCAATATTCTACCATTGTGCTATTCCTGTAGCTTCGCGCTGTTTGCAACGCGGAATGGTGAGGTATAAAAAAACCATTCCGCACCATTATTGTAAGTACAGCTTAAAAAGCAGAGTTCGTTGAGAAAAGAAAGGGACCCGTGGTCACAGTCCGGATAAACTTTACCCTGTTCCTTCACTTGCTAGCGAATCAGAATACCGCGTGACTCAAACACCTGCACGATTGCATGGTCTCTCTCTTTTAATATCTCTTGGCATCACTCAACGCCGTATTTGTTCTTCAAGTCCTGGAGCTCCTGCTTCTGCTTGTCGAGGTCCACACCCGCGCCCTTGCGCTGCTGCATCTTGTTGGCCTGGTAGTAGAGCACAATGAGGTAGCGGCCGCAGACGTTAAAGCCGGACAAGTGGTCCACTGCGTTCTTGGCGTCATAAATGTCCTCGTAGACCACAAACGCCGTCCCCCTCGTGTCGTTGTTCACGCCCAGACGGACTTGTCGAATCGCCCCGTACTTGCCAAAGATGTCGTAGAGTTCCTCGGCCGAGATCTTGAAGGGCAGATTGCGCACGTATAGTACGCGATTCACCTCGGGAGGAAGTCGTGCCTGTTTATCATGATATCAAGTCAGAGAGACGACGCCGACGAAGGGACCGGAGGACGGACGGACGTACGTTGGCTCGACGACCTTGGACGTACATGGCGATTGGCGTTCGTTCTAGTGGCCTGATAGGTCGTGGCAATTCGTGAAACTTAGTACGAATGGACTGTTCAATCTTTTATTCGGAGTTTTGATACTTTGGCAGACCGATGGACCTTATCCTGAGTCTATCCTGAGCTCGGTTTGTTGTGCAGACGTAATAACGGGGCTTTGCTTTATGTACAGTCCTTGTGTAACGCTGGTAGACGTCATGCTTTTTACCTTGCTACGAGAAATCAAGTGCCATCAATGATCGCGTATGAGTTATACGCGGCAGTTACAAACGGTAATCATCAGCCACTTGCTTCGTGCGTGGCCGCTCACCGAATCGATGTTTCCTCCACTTTATCACTAAGCATGTATTCGTCAACGTCAAAGAAATCGATGACGAGTCACTTGCAACCTTGACAGTGAAAGAAGATGAATTCGGACAATATGCAGAACGAGCACAGTAGTAGATCGACCAGTTGAATCGCGACATTGGCTGACCCATGGCTTGCTTACTTCGCATACAGCTGCGGTCTTGTTGCCATACAGTAAAGTCGGTCTATATGAACAAAGCATCAAGGATGGGGAGTTGTTGCCTATTCTTCCCATATAAATGTCGGCATGTCGCCTCGAGATCGCATTGTGTCGTATTCTGCAACTATCTATGTTTTGGCCGCTTCAGCGAAGTGACCGCTGCCTATATAATTATGCCCGTTATTCGACACGACCGGTGAGCATTTTTTATTATCGTCGATACACATGCGAAATCATGTGACGACTCCTTGGCGCTGGTCTTTATATCTTAGACTGCCTGGACTCCAAGAAGCATGGGTTCTGACCAGCAATACTCACAGTTGTGTACGCATTGCTAATCGTCTATGTGAGATGCGGTAGTCCGGCGTATTGTAAACATGGAATAGGCGCTACCAGTAATAAGTGGCTCGAGCTGCTGCAGTTGTCAGCGCAACATCTGTGAGAGCAAAGTGTCAGGAAACTATGTAGGAAAAACGGCCAGACAGAGATTGTGATCGATATCACAGCTCCAGTACGTCGTAAGCAGCACTTGTTATGTGGATCGTGTGCTGCAGATGCGTGATATCAAATCCGACGTTACCATTCATCGTATCGTACACACAGAAGTTGAGTTGTCGGCTGGCTTTGCATGAATAACATTACTGTCCTTTGACGTAAAATTACTCAGTTTTGTGCGGCATTAAATTCTACCAGGCCACATGTACACGGTTGATTGAACCGCGTATTGCTGTTAAAAATCAAACAGTATGCAAATTCGCAACATTATTGCAAGACATGACACGTAACGTCGATCAAAAGATACGCCACAACTTTTGCTGTAGGACTCCTCTTTTACACGGCAACGTGGAAGAGTCGGTCATATCATTCGTAGACTCTTCGATGCATTCCATCCCACGTAGCAAAACGAGCATAAGAATCTCTTTGTGATCAAATGGCTTTGACTGATGCTCAATTGTGGACGCACAAAAAGTATACACATCGAACGATCTGATTGAGTTCGTCTGTGGAAGCTTATGCCAGGACTCGGCTTGACAAGAATGGCCTAGATTTTCTCCATTCGCTCAAAAGAAAGTGAAAAATACTTCTACCCGGTCTCGTTCCGCATCCAAGTCTTCGTAATTTATTCGTCAACAAGCGCTTTATTTATGGAGATGAAGTTTTTAAAAAGCACCAGACTAAATTTTACAATTCCAGCTCTGAACTCACTTTTTTCATGGCGTCGTTCCTGCTTGGTGACGAGTACGCGTCTTCCTCTAGCTCTTCTGATGAGGAAGTTTCACGAGACATCCCTCCTAAGGCCAAAGCGTCTCTTCCAGCTACTGCAACAGCCGATATACACTTGCTCCCATCAGTAGACGAGCTTTTTTTCGGTAACCCCAGCAGTGTATTGACCGCTACTCCTCTTCGATCGTCAGCAGCTCCAAAGGCGCTGTCAATCAAGCGCAAGAACGAGCAAATGCACCCACCAGCAAAAAAAGCAGTGAAAAAAACAGCGCTTGGAAACGCTTTTTACAAGTCTCAAATCGCGCCATTCACGCCGCCACAGCTTCGTCGACCTAATATTTCAACCGAAGACCGCAGGTACGTTTCGCTTTTTTCTAAGTTCGATTGCGATCAGGTTTGACCAAAAAGGACGAAACCCATCTGATTCTGCAAATCGTTTTATTTTCGCACCGCTTTTTGGCAGCTCGTGGAATACCCTACGAACTCTGGCCTGGCAGAAAAAAGCAAAAGATGCTCGTCCGAGCTCTTGATGTCTGCGACAATGTCGATCAGCAGAAAGCTGCCTGTTCCATCATTTATGGTGCACTAGCAATGCGCAATTGGAGGAGGTAACAGCTACATGTGTAGTGACTGACAAAAAAGTCGTTGTTCCTGCCTCCATGTTTGTTTACTTAGTGACTTGGACCACATCATGGCTCTCCTTCTCAAGTTCATCACCACCACCACCAGCAGCATCATCATCTCCAAGCGAGAGGCCGAGTGTAATTCCCTGAGAATTAGTGCCAACTCTGCTCGTCGATATCGACCTTGACGACCGTCTAAAACAACGGGGTTGTCGTGTAATGAGCCGATTCCTCGGTCGAAAGCTTGGTCGTGGTCCGCACGCCGTGGCTCTGTGACTTCTTCATCGCCATGAGACGGGCTTTGATCGTCAACAGCTTCTTTTCAAGACCCTCCACTCGTGCTGGAAAGTTGCGAAGTCGGTCAGCGTAGCGCTGAATCGAGCACTTTTCTGCTTTTTCCGCCTCTTGAAGTCCTACATGACAAAAAAGACCCAATGTCGTGAGAAAAAATACTTTCTTCGTCTTTTATTGGAGCAATACCAAGTGCTTTTTTTAATTCCTACCGGCAATGAGTTGGTCCACAGTGTGCTGCAGCTTTTCTTGCGCAGACAAGAGGAGCTTAATGTAGTCGTGACAGCGCTCGACTTTGGGCCACAGCGTCACGAACATGCCTTGAGCGAACGAGACATCTTCGGTCGCCGCCATTGACTGAAGGAGTGGAAAACTAGGCGCAGAAAGGGTCAAAAGACGAGGAAAGAAAATGCTTTTTTGTTTAGAAAAACGCGGGAAGCTTCAGTTGCGGAATCAGAAACGACCATGTGGGTGCATTTTCGACTTTATCCGGAAAACTCGATCGACTTCAACATCATTTCAGCAACGAATCCGTTATACACTTCCTACTCTCTGTCACTGTCCATCACATCCTCGTCGTCATCTTTTTCACCTTCCCCATATCCATCTTCACTATCCTCATCCTCAGCTTCATCATATCCAGCAACTTCTTCCTCATCCTCTTCTTCCATAGCAACTTCATCTTCCAATGTATTTTTTGTCATCAAAGTGGTCCAGGTGCCGTGCTTGCAACCCATTGCAGACCTCTTTGCCTTCATTATTGTCCTCATACATACCTTCCGTCTCTTGTTCCGTTCCACAAACGGCTCGTTCCATTGGCCTGAGCTCTTTGTCACCCTTGACTTCATCGACCAGTTGAACTGTTCGGGCCCGTTTTCGTGATCGACTCTCCAGACTTTTGTCAACTTGGTCGGGATGAGACACTGCCGTCGACTCAAGGACTTGTTGCTGTACGTCGTCCGATTCTTCGTCTTGAGACCTCGGTCCTTTTCTACGACATCGTGAGGCAACTCGAGCGTCCTCTTCACTCTCAGGATCCTCCACAGCACCGCTGAGAGATGTACCCTCACCTTCGTCCTCGCTTTGCTCTCTGATCAATGAATGCACATCTTCGTCGTCGCTGTCCAAGATCTGGTTCGCGTTTTTTCGCCGACGCGGCCGAGCAACTTGATGGACATTCGGCTGTTCCTCGTCATTGTCACTTTCTTCAGCTACATCGTCATGGTCCTTCTGGTCAGTATCTTCATCGACGGAAAACACACCGTCTTCAACAACTCGAATAGATCGACTTCCTATTCGCTCTTCGCCATCGCTCTCCATCTCATGGTCGTTCCACGTCCGAATCTTCTTGCTCACCTCGGTTGCCACATAAACTCTCTTCGTCTTGACTTTCTCTACCTACTGCCGCTTCGTCGTCAGAATGAAATCCCCTGTTATCTTCGTATTCATCGCTACTCAAGTTGCCAGTAGGCTGCTCGGTTTCATTGAGATCGTCAACGATGAAGGAGTTGTCGGACTCGTTTCCTTCTTCACTAAACTTGCCTTCGCAATCGCTGTCATGATCCTGTGCATGACGATTGCGGCGACTGGCATCTCTCGCCTTATCATGGATGAGACTCACGTAATCGGCCACAGGAGTGTCGGAGATTTCATGCGGCTCACGCAAGCGGGTAGTGATGCTGAGCTTTAGACCGTAAAGGTTGTCGGAAAAGCGAAATGTATACACACCTGAGCACGGCGGATGAATCATGACAGCAAAGGTAGTTAGTAAGCGCGTATAGCTATCGGAAGATGCTTCATGCGATACAAGAAATGCATTCGCACCACCAGGAACGTCAAGCCGCAATGCTGGGAAAGTCACTGCACCACCTTGTGCTCCACGCGTTCGCTCCATCACGCAGTTGCCCTAGGAAAAACGATATAGCAAGATAGAAATGACGTATGCCCTACTTCAGCAAAAACTTCCGGGTAAGAACAATCAAGTGCACGCACCGCTTCGTCACAGACACATAGACTAATTTCGTTGTAGTAGGAGCTACAAACCAAGGCATCGTCATCGCCATCATCGTTCATGAAAAACGGCATCCCATCTGCGATTTCCTCGTCTTCTTCCATTTTGATCACGTTCACAGAGCACTCCTGGTGCTCATTGTACGATTCAAGGATGCTGGGAAACTCCACAATAGCGATGCCAACGCGCATGTTGGCATACCCATCTTCGTTTTCGTCGCTTGTATCGAGCACGACGTTTCTCGACACGTGTAGTTCACCATCATCAGTGTTTTCGACTTTCAGCACCGGATATTCCTCGTGTCCTTCCCGATCCTCGTCCCATCGGCCAATTGACCTCTCGTGCCCCTCATCCCCGTGATAGCTTGCAGCTCGCTCGCCAAGAGTTAAGATCTTCCGCTTCACATCCAGCTGCTCAATCTTGTGCTCGAACTCTCGGTCTTCCTCTTGTTGATATGTCACTTTTCTCTCTGCGACCGCTGGAACCAAGAGCTGCTCTTCCGTACATGCACACAGCACAAAATGTCATCAATTAGTCACCTCAGATACCTACTAACCACACATCACACATAGCACGTACCTGCACGAGGTTCCACAATGTGACGTTGATTGAAAACATCGACATCGACGTCGCTTGTGAAGCGAACGGCTTCAAAATGTCCATGCGACAGACGGGACATTGCGCTTCTTCGAGTGGTCGAGTCAAGAGCGAGTCCAGGAGACACACGCGGCTGTACATACACATAACGAATAAAAACACACAAGTCAGAAAAAACAACAGCAAGTAGAAAAGAAGGAAAAAGGAGGGATGCCATCCAACCACTTGGTCAGGACTTATCCGGTCATTTATAGATTAATTCATGTATACATGTATGCACATCTTAATAAAATTAATATATGCACATCCCTCCTGTACAACAGCATTTGACGTACCAGAACGAGTGTCCACACACAACTGACACTGGCTGTAGATAATTTTCATACACACAAATTCGCCGCAAAAATCAGCATTACTTTGGTATCAGATTCGGTTCGGTCAAAATCCAAAAATAACATTAAAAATTACCTTAAACAGAGCGTTGCGACAAATAATGCACTGGACTTCAGCCTCCAGTGTTGCTAATGTCACATGTCCATTTGAAGCCATGACAGCGTTTGTATTGGCCATCGATTGGTGCTGCGGACTAAAAAGTGCCATCATTTTCACATTTCCATCCTTTTTCGGTGGCTGCAGCTGCTTCTCGTTCTTAGTCGATGCCGTTCGATTTACGCTTCGAATAAAGCGCTCTTCGTTTTCTTCGACTTCATTTCCATCGCTCGCGTCATCTTTTTCTTCCAGATCAAGAAAGTCCTGCTCGGCCTCGTTGTCTTCCTCGTCCATGTCCAATAGTGAAGCCATGTGGTCGAAACTGTGGTTTAAATTCGAGTACGAAAGACGGAGTGAAAAAAACAAAAACAATGAATGTAGCGAAATTTGATTGTTGTCGTATGATTGCAATGTATCAAGAAGGGGCGAAATTTTCATGGAAAAAGAGAGGAGATTCGTAGCGACTTTCATTGTAGCGACTTTCATTGTAGCGACTTTCATTGTGGTGACTTTCATTGTGGGATCATGAAAATGACGTTGCAGAGCTTTGATCGAACTGATGCTGTAGCAGCAACTTTGACCTTTGTGTTCATGATGTGAGAGTAGCTTGAGGTCAACCTGCAGTTCTAATAACCGGGAGACCGTCACACTGATCTTGCGCTAAAACTCGTCGAGTCCAAGTCGCCAGCATCTTCATATTCGTATTTATCATTAGCAAACCATACAGCGCTATTTATCAGAGTCGTTTAAGGCTTCGTTGCTCACTCGTTGTACACCTTGTAGGACAAGTCAATAAATCTATAATGTGCGCCCTTGTGAGACGTAGAGCTAAGCACGCACGTTACCTGTAATTTTGAGAAGACCAGGACTCCATACAACATGCTACTGATAAGATGCTACTTTGACTGTCCGACAGCTTTTTAGTGTTTGAGCTGCATTATCGTGCAAGAAAGATAGAAACGGGTATTGCAGATGTACATCGGTGCTTCCCGCTAAGCTGGGATGAGTGTTGGGATTCGCCCAAAGGTACGGGCATAATGGAAGGTGAGCTTATGAGAAGTCGCCACCGTCCTAGCGATGCTTGTTTGCTTATTGGATGTCGAAATGCTCCGATGTTTGTCGACAGTATTTTGCTGAATGTGGCCCTAGCTGTGTGGAACGAGAAAGCTGAGCCACGTTCATCAAAGCTTTCGTAAGCATGAGGGACGTCTGGTTGGAATAGTGATGGAGATTCAAGGACGAGCTCAAATCGGCTGTAGTTTCAACGACAACATCAGTAGCTACTTTAGTAACAGCGTCTCATGGAAGCACTTGAACCGAATTCGTACGCACTATGGATTGGAAGCAGACTGTTAATTTGAGCTTCACATCGCACTAGGCTCAGAATACAGTGTGCCACATCCTGACACCAACACGACTGAGTTCCAGTGACTGAGAACAGAAGTACGATACAGGATTTCTGCCACAAGAACAAGCTTCATGATGTTGTAGCACATTAGGAAACACTTCGCAGTATACTTTCTTTGTATTGCCAAACCTAATCGTAATTATCTAAGCTAGCAAAGACCTCACGAAACCAGCTACACTAGTGCTATGGCCTCAACCGAAAACTTGTCTTGTACCATGTAACGTCTACGTAAAAGCACTACTGTAAATTATTACCCGCGCCTACAATAGCTTCCAACGATCCGGGATAGTACCACAACAGTAGCTGTTGAGTAAAGAACGGAACGTGAATACTTGCGAACCTGTTGCGTCTGTGAGGTAACTTGCGGATTTGTAATTGCTTGTATAGTGTAAAAGCTCTACCTGAACGTGGCATTTGCTGCATGTCCAGTGTGATGTAGCAGCGCCATGGCCTCTTGACGAAGAGTAGGCAGATCCGACTTTACGATACTTACACAAGGTCTGGCATTTTTCGAGAAACCTTTTCGGCCACCTGGTTACGTTTGTGCTGTTTAAAAATATCCGCAGATGTCGTTGTGCGAGTCATGAATATAATTGTAGAGGGCGCTGTGGAACTACTGTCTTTCCTGCTAACGCTCACGTTCAACGAGAACAATGGAACACTCACGGCATCCAGCAAAAGATGAGACCTTCCGTATCATCGATGTACTGCAGCTAGTCATGTAGAAGTGCTTGCGATGGCTCGATCCCGACACATGAAACTACAGCCTTGCTTTTGTCAACAGTGTAGGAGGGGTGACCATGAGCGCCACCAGTGTCAATACCAACCGACGTGAGTATGTAGTAAGTCGAACAGGCCAGGAACTCCATCGTTGCAAGCGACTGGTTTGCAGCACACAAACATAAGCGTGAGTGCATGTGAAGTGCTTTTCACATAGTGAGCTAGTGTCAGCAGCGCAAACAACACGTTGACGACAACCTTAGCTTCTTTGATTCGCCACTTACCCATAGCGAGTCGAAGTGCCTAAAACGCAACTGTACGCAAGTCGCATTTTCATCAGAGCACGTTCCATCACGAACAGTCAATCAGGACAATGACGAATGTCAAATTACAACCAACAAGCTCCAGACAAAATCGCAAACTAACCAGCAACACACAGCTGACGACCACAACCATTTTCGCGTGGTCGGCTCTGATTTGAACTTTGTTACACTCTAGACATACCCAACAGACATTCGGAACGAGGGCGATAAAATAGCTACGCGATCAGTCTTACCCGATGATCGTCGACAAGAGCGATCTGTAGCACGCGTTAGTTGAAGAAATAAGGGCTGTCGAGCACACTGCGGAGATCCAATGTGCCCAGCCGAGGCACATCGTCAAACGTCATATCAGGAAAACGCAACCGCAGCTCCGTCAGCAGATCTTCCAGCAAAGGACGTTCGTACAAATTCACAAATTCCTCGCGTAGTCGCCTGTTCATAGTGTCCACAGAGCACGCGTGCGTCCAGTAACTGTCGTGCACGGCAGCAAACGAGATCTGGTCATCCTCGAGGCAGCGACGCGCGGTCAGCATCATGTGTGTCGAATCCAGCGAGTGAACAAAGTTGGGTGGAAAAGCTGACTTCTGGCGTCCAATGCTTACTTGCCGTCCTTCATTTTCCACCATCAGCACGTGCTGCACCTTCGTGCGCACCTGTTTCGTAGACTTGCTGCGGTACGGCTGTACCACAGGCAGACCCAGGGGTGTGATCCAAGACATGGGTTGTCCACTTTCACCCGCCTGGGCAGCGCACTTAGCCAACCAGCCCATGATCCCACGTGCGGAGGTGAACAAATCACCCATTGAACCCATTGTCAACTCGGCACAGTAGCACGCGGCATGATAAATGTCGTCCTCCAATTGATCGTCCATGATATGTCCCTTCGTGAGGAACGTCTCGTGCAGACGAGCGGAAATCTGTTTGCGAGCACCAATATACGTTACACCATACACACTCGTCATCACTGTCTGCTTCACCACCTTGCGCGTAATGATACCTTGCAGGAACTGAGCGCATCTTTTTCGGTGAGCCTGACTCTGCAGCTTCTGAAGCTCAGTTCTATGTGTGCCGGAAGCGCTTTCCAGCATCGAGTTGACGTACTTCACGTCAGGCACATCTAAGGCGGCATCGTGTTCCACTTTGGCCAGTACCTGCGTTGCCACGCCCGTGTAAACGTCACTCGGACGGGGCGCTGGCACCAAATTGACTTGGGCACCACCACGGTCATCACGGCCAAGAGCGGCATAGTGTTGAAGACCGTTGCATGAGCCATCCTGGTGAATTGGGATATTGGACATGTACTTCGTTGGGTCAGGGGACTCGATTGCGCGTTTGAGCTCAAAGCACACACCCAGCGCCAAGAACGGGTAGTCGGCAGCCTTCCACCATGCGCTATCACCCTCACCAAGTGGGTCACGCGCCGATACCACAGCTTTGTCCAGATTCGCATCCGCGAATTCCACACGCTCATCGAATGAGCACTTGTCCACACCAAAGACATTGGCCAGATGAATTTTCATCCAGCGCAATCCATGTTCACCCAATGGCTTACGGTCACGAAAAATAAGCAGACTTCGGGAAAGATCGGAGCCCAGGTGATTCAGGTTGGGCGGGATCGGATACACACGACCGCGAAAGTCCATGTTGTACGGAAAATAAAGCTCGGGTTCATCCTTGAACTCCTCCGCAACCTGGAGCTTATACAAAGTATCGCAGCGCAACGAATGAAACTCCCGGTTCAGTTGTTCGATCTGCACCAACCAACACGAAAAGAATACGAAGGTAAGTCGTTTACGTACACAATAGATCAAGTCATGCATGTGGGTTACAAAGCTCCATGACAGGAGCCTCCCGAGTGGCTTCAGGGTACAAACACCTAGCAACCATCGAGCAGCAACCGCTTACTTTTGCAATCAGTTTGAACCCACATGACGTAGATGCGATCATGCGGGCTTGATTCCGTTGCGTCAATACAAACACTAAACCTTACCTTGCGGACGTTCTTGTAGTAGAGTGCTGGATCATTTACAAACTCTGGGCTGTTTGGGTCCGGAATAGGAACATCTATGCGAGTAGGCAGATCACCAAAGTTCCCGCCATCCTCCCAGATCTGAAGCACGACGTTCAACACTTCCTTGTTGATTACCCACGGCACCTCTGCCATGAGGTTCAACGCTTTCAAAATTCCATCCAAATCACCACGTTGGACGCAGTCCATTTGCCAGGCTGAGTCACGTTGTCGCATTACTTTTGTGCGCAGCTTTAGGTACCCGCCATTCACGATACCGGTCCACGGACGAGGAGGCACAAGCATTGGAAGATACCGTGCGGTCCAAGGCAGGACATTAGCATCAGGATTCGTCGCCAATACTGTCTCTGCCATTCTCTGGTGGATCTGGATCACCCCCGCGCGGCGATTGCGGTCAAACACATAATTGTGGACAAAGGCTGGCTCGGGAGTAGGTAGCCCTTTGGCTGCGCATAGCTCAGGTGTGAGCACATCGCCCGACCTGTTCGGCACATAACATGTGCGCTGAATGCAATCGACTACCGCCGCACCAACCTTTAGCTGCAAACGTTTGTCCCAGCCTCCGACATTATCAATGTACTCTCGTATGCGATTCTTGAGACTTTCTAGCTTCACGTCTTCAATCAACTTCAAACCAAACTTGTCCATCTTCCCGTTGTTCCGCTTTGCCGATTCCTCTTTCCTGGCAATAATCTCTTCCTGCACAGCCTTGCCCATCGCCAGAGCCAACTTGATAAACTTCGGCCCCTCGGGTTCCATCAAACACGTATTCAGCATAATATTCATCCCCGTCGCAGCAAGCACGTCGGCTTTCAAGATCATCAAGGCGGGGCCGTAAATATTGCTGTCCGTGCTGTGTTTCCCCGCTTTGATCTTTTTCTGCTCCGACTCAATGTAAGCCTTTGCTACCGGCATCCACTTCCGGATCAGATCTTTTGCAGCATTCGTCTCCGTCGTCCGGCCAAGCTGCCGCACCTTCTCGTGTGACGACGAGTACTTGTCCATTGCCATCTCATACACTGAACACTCAAGACGGAGCTGTCGCGCGTAGCGCCGACGCATCTCCTGCACCTCCTCAGGCGTCGAGCACTTAGCCAATTGCTCTTCAGGGACTTCAAACTTCTCCAGCCACTTGTCCACGTCCTCATCCGACATGAATGAGCGCTTATTGAAAGCACGTCCGGCCGAATTAGAAACCTGCTCCTCACATTGCGCGATTGCGTCTCGAAGACCCAACGATAGCGGTGCAAGCTGGAACGGCTTCTCCACCGTCGATCGAGGCGTCAGCTGTTGAGCACGTACAGCCCAGTCGGCTTCAACGAGACGACGAGGCTCCACACCTTCGAACCCGTCAGCCACTTCAACGTCCGTCGTCGCTTCGGCCCTAGCGGCTTCAGACGCCAAAGAGCTCTTGAATCGGTGCGACAGGTGGCTCAGAACGCAGCGCTGCATATGAGAGCGACTATTTAACTGGCAGAAAGCGTGGCGAAGCGCTACATGCGCAACGCGTGTCGTTGTCAATGAAGACGCTTGCATTGCGAGAGATAAACGAGGACAGTGTCACTATTAGACCACGGTAGAGGATGCGAACTGGACGGACGGATGCAGAAGGAGAAGGTGGGGACGGTTGTAGTGGTGGTGGTGGCTACGGACCACTGGATGCGGCAGCGCACGTAGCGACTCGACAAGGTGCTTAGGGTGTCTTCAACCTTCTTGGACGAAGAGGTCTTTGAGTTGTGTGTGGATTAATGGGAGATGACTGGGTGGGAGCGACTGCACGATTAATGACCAATCAGACGAATGCAGCGGACGTATGAGCGAGTTAAATTTGAGAAAAAGAAAACTGAGGCCAACCATCACCCCCTTTTCGTGTATGATACTTGCGGAAGTCTCGAAAGTCGTCGAGGTTTTTTGAGATTCTATTTTTAGACATTGGACCAGCTTTGATTGTCGCAGCAGTCGGAGGCAATGGCGACCCCAACTGCTACTTCATCATGTGGGGCACACGATCATGTGGACGACGAGGACTCCGTTGAGATGGACATGGCGTTCGACCCGACGCTGGCCTCGTGCTGCAAGCGTGAAGAGCACGAGTACAAAAAGGCCATGAAGCTGAAGGCAGTTCTTACGGCGCACGATCCCACGTCCAGCGCAGTGCGAATGCGTCAGCAGCTCTTTCAGCCACCATCGACTACTTCACTCGTGCCACCGACTGTGGATGGGATTGTGCGTCTAATTCCACCGGCATCTGAGTCCGTCGACTCAGACTCTGATTCTGACTCCGACGACTTGGACGAGGATGAAATGGACATGGAGATCCTGCTGGCTGCACGACGGAAACAGCTCGAGCAGCAGCTTGAGCAATCAGCACGAGACGCTGCCGATGGATACGGAGTTGTGGTGGACACGAAGCTTGAGCGACTGGTCCACGAGCTGCAGGATGAACCAGATGTACCAAGAGTTGTGCTTGTAGTCGACAGTAGCGCCGCTATGCCGCCAGAATTCCGAAGTGTCATGTGTAGCAAAATGGCTACAGTGGCGAAGAAGTTCCGGGGAACGAAATTTCACGCAGTGGTAGCAGCAGAACGAGCCGATGACGATACGTTGTGCCAATTGCGACTGCCGTCCAAGTCTTGTTTGGCGGCGTTTCGCCGTGGCGAGCGCGTGGATTCAATAGCGTTGGATCAAACGGTTCTAGTCACACAAGTCGAGGCTCTTTGGGAGACGCGATATTTGCCGTGGCTGAGCAAGTGCAACGTAGTCGCCTGCGAACGTGTACATTCTCCTCCTGCTAAGCAAAGCCAATCGAGCCGGAGTAGAAAACCTGCGGACGAAATGGAGTCGGACATTCGAGGTTTCGACTGCGGCATGGAGGGCTGTCGACTTCGTTTTAGCTACGAACACGAGCACGTTGGTACGTCTCAACAGACGAAGGACGAAATCGCAGCGTGGCGCCAGGCGTCTAAGTCATGTAACCGGTAGAACACTTCCACACATTCTGTGCTCTTTATTTTTGGTGCCTGCTATGAGTGTTACTTGTAGTTTGTAGCTGGCACTTCATTACGGGACCCCAGTCGGTCAGACTTGTCCATTGTCCCTTTCGGGTTCGACAAGCGGCATCGCGCATCCAGCTGTTTTCTCTGAAAATGTCGAAGGCAACGAGCTTGCGACCGGCAAATGTAGAATATTTCGGGTCTCCACACACGCTGTGCCACGTCGTACACGTAGCAGCCAACTTTATATCGAACATTACACGAGCAATCATATCGACGTCAAAACGACTTTAGTCCCGTCTGCCGACTGATGGCTCCATTGCCCAATAAAGTTGTCTGACCGGTGCGATCGTCAGTCGTCGGTCCTCAAAGATCCCGCGCTTCGAGCTCTGGATGTGATGATTTTATGTGGACACACACTCTGCTTCGAGACTAGAGGGGGACTAACGGCTGAAGTAGCCGGTAACCCGTTCTCCAAACTCTTGGGCGGCCATCGACTTGTGCACACGTCACATACTTTTTTCACTTCAAGCCAGGTAGGCTGCCTACAATCACCCCGTGACGTCGAGAAGCAATCGAAGCAATTGTCTCATGGCTCCGGAGCCAGCGGCGCACTGGCCGTTGCTCCAGCTGCCAACCGACCCAAAGTCAGGCACGCAGTCAGGCACGCAGTCAAGTAAGTATACAAGGAAGCAAGCAAGCACAACTCCCGCCACGACCGCGCTCTAATTGAACGGAAACCGGCCCCATGTAACAGGGTCAGGGGTTGAAAAACAAGAGTGATGGTCACTTCAACCAACGGCTTGCCCAGTCACGTCATTTCCTATTTTGAGACCTCGTGCGCAAGCCAAACGCGCGTCGAAGCCGTCGCTGCGGACATGGTCGAGCACGCTGCACCCAGCGAGGAGGCGCCTCGAGCTGCACGCAGACGCCTGAGCTCGGGCATGTTACGCAAAGAGCTGGACATGCGGCTCACGGCGTACTTGCCGGCCGTCGTGCGTCGGCACCTCGAGCGCCAGGACTTGCACCGGCCGCTGGCCATGCCCACGACCCACCGCATGCGCGTCGTGAGTATGTTTGCCGACGTGTCGGGCTTCACGTCGATGACCGAGTCGCTTGCTGCGCGCGGTCCCGTTGGCGCCGAAGACCTCGCGAAGCACTTGAATTCGTATTTTGAGCAGCTCTTACGACTCGTCGCGAGTGCTGGGGGCGACGTGATTAAGTTTGCAGGCGACGCGATGCTGATCTTCTGGCCCGAGAGCAAGGAAGACGCCATGGACAGTCTCTTGCGTCGCGCTCTGCAGTGTGCCTTGCGCATTCAGTCCCATTTGCATGCGGCCGAGCTCGCTCGTGGTGTCGTACTTAGTGTGAAAGTTGGCGTGGGCATTGGGGAAGCCACGATTGCTCATCTAGGCGGCGAGAGTGACGGGGCTACTGCCCGCATTGAATATGTTGCTGTTGGACCAGCTCTGGAGCAGGCGTTTGACGCCGAGCACCAGGCGGAAGCAGGCGACGTCATTTGCTCGAGTGAGTGCTGGAAGCGCGTGAGCGACTGTTTCGATGGCGCAGTTGTTGCAAGTCCGGGCTGTGAACAGGAGCACGGCAATGCTTTTTATAGGATTACGGGCGTTCACAAACCAGTCAAGATCTGCTCGCGGCGGCCATCATTCACGCGCCACGAAGCTCTGTTGCATGAGCGCATGAAGCAGTATGTTTCTAGAGCAGTCTGGCCGTATCTTGATGCCCACGATGAGTTTTGGGGCTCCGAGCTACGCGATGTGACAGTGTTATTCATAAATCTCGGCTTCAGGTACGCCTTTCCTTGCTTGTACTTGTTGAATATTGTGCATTGACTGATGACCATTTATGTCCGTGCTTTCTTAGTGAACAGGATTTGGCTCAAATGCTGGGGGCTAAAGAGCTCCAGCGGCTGCAAGATGCTTTTGCTTGCGTACAGAAGTGCGTTTACGACTACGAAGGCACGATCAATAAGTTTCTCGTGGACGATAAAGGCAGCACTGTCATTGCTGCGTTCGGACTGCCACCTGTAACCCACGAAAACGATCCCATTCGTGGCATCTTAGCCTCTCTGGCTATCTGCGCTGCTCTTGGCAACACCGATCTTAAAGCTTCCGTGGGAATTACGACGGGCACAGCCTTGTGTGGAGTCGTTGGTCATCAAGGAAACCGGCGAGAGTACACTGTGCTGGGTGATGTTGTAAACCTCTCGGCGCGTCTGATGCAACGTGCAAAATCGGAAGGAGGTGGTGTTATCACGGATGCATCCACAAAGATCTATAGTCAGGACGTGCTGCATTTCGAAAAACGTCCCGAGATTATGGTCAAAGGCAAGAACGAGAGTATCAAGATACATCGACCGTATCCACGAATGTCGATTCTGCTCGATTATCACCTCACTTCTGCCATTCAACACTCTTTCAGGAGGAGTGACGTCGTATCGTCAAAATCTGCAGCGAGGATCAGTGGACGAACGGGGCGCGCCAACGCATTGTCGATCGTGAGTCGTGCTGCGCCAATACTAAATCTGATGGAGAACATGCACCGTGTACAAGTGCGTGATGCTCAGCGAAGATTGTCGTTACGTGCAGACCGGCAGTGTTTGGCGGCAGCAGAACTCGTCCAAAGTGAAAGCTATGTGGAGGCTCGAACGGCATTGATGGAAAAGTGCTCGAACCTCAACTCGTTGGAGCCTGGTGGAGCGTTCGTGCTCGAGGGAGAAATCGGCGTGGGCAAGACCGTGTTACTACGGTCGGCCCTTGGCAGCCCTGAAGCCGGGGATTACCAAGTGTTGGTCGGTACAGCTTGCCCATTTGCAACGAAAAACCCTTACGCAATTTGGTCGGAGCTTATCACCAGACGAGCCCAAGAACTGTCCGGGACTTACTGTAATAGCAGTGTTTGTGCCAAGCAGCCTGACTCTCACCTCTCCCCGGACGTTGCCACCCCCGAAAGCTCCAATATTGCTGTACAGGCACCAAGTAGAGTAGACGTGATGGAACGCCGAAAGTGTGTGGCCCAATTTGTCAGGCAGAAAATTCGCGAGGGTGCTGCGCGAAACACGACACTTGTACGACATGTACCCTTACTGAATGCAATTTTGGACACGGATTTTAATGCCTATCCTGACATTGATGACAGTGACGAAGCAGATGATGCGCAGGTTGATCGCAGTTACCATCTACATTCTGGAGAGCCGTATGAAACCCAGAGCGAGGGAGTGGAAACAAGGGATGCAAATGAGGAGCAAAACGGAAATGGGATGCGCACAGACGGACTCGCACTTGCTGGAGGCCCCGACACAATTTTAAATTTGAAGGACGGCGAGATCGCCTCGTGGTTTTTTGGTCTCTTGGAGAAGGACTTAGCAGGAGAAAAGGGTTCTGGACCCTCACTGGTATGCTCAGCGCGTGGCGACACTAGTGCGCGGGGTTTCCACGCAGACAGGCGAGAACGCGAGTGGAAACCCGCTGATTTGGATATTAGCGGCGTTCTATTGCTATGTGCGCTGTATGCCATGTCACGTGAAAGAGCAACAGTGTTTTGTCTTGACAGTGCTATGCACATGGACGAGAAATCGTGGGCTCTGGCCGCAATCATTGCTAAATACTTTACAAACTGTCTGATCGTGATTGGAACACGGCCACCGAGTTTGGCTCTAGGTGAGCATACCGAAAGTCTTTCGTTTCGTAAGCAGTTGCTTTTGCTGAAGCAAATGGAGTCCTCAACATGTGCTTCTCTGGATACGCTTTGCAGCGAAGAAATCGAGGTGCTTTCGCGACAGATTCTGCAAGTGCCTGCTATTCCGGACAATCTTCTGGACATACTTGTGTCACGTTCGCAAGGGAATCCTCTCTTCTTACACGAAATTATTGCTGAGATGCAGGAGCAACAAGTTATACGAGTGGACGAAAAGAAAGGCGTTCGCCGATGTGGACTGCATGTTCAGGAACCTTGGGGTGATAAGTCTAAGGCAAAATTTTGCTTCGATTGCCATGCCAGCTTTTTGACTACGAAGAAAGACAAAGTTAAAGGAAAAGACATCGATATGGGTTTCAGCGAGGAAGCTGTAAGGAAGACTAGGCAGCGGTGTCAATGCTGCGGATACGTCTTTTGCGCTGAGTGCACTCCAAAAGCATGTCAAGCGAAACTTATCGGAAAGTCGAGCGAGCCTGTGCGACACTGCCGCACATGTTACACTCTTGCATCGTCCCGTCGTCCTAGTGGTTCGAGTCTAAGTATTGGAGCTGCTGTTGCGGTCATCGGAGACAAACGGACGCGAAAGAAAAGCCGATTGCGGTCTATTTTCCAGCCCGGAAGCAGTGTTGACCAAGCTGTAACGTTAGCCACATCACCGAATTCTCCCGCCGCGTCGAAGGCTCGGACGCTTATGAATCGGGTCGCGCCCCACCCTCCTCGAACCGTCAAGAGCGTGCTCACTACGATGCTTGATCGGCTGACGGTCTCACAGCGCATGCTAATGAAAACGGCTAGTGCTATTGGTCCTGTGTTTGACAAAGAGACCCTCCGTGGTACTTGTCCCATCGAGGCTCATCTGTCTCGATTTTCACAAGATCTCGAAGACCTGGAGCAATTGGCCATGATTCGTCGAATCGACCCATTCATTGGAGGCGTGCCTGCATCGTCCAGGCCGATCAATGGAGCTATCCTCACCAATGGTCGAGCGTCATCGTCACCCAACAGCCATTTGAAAGTCAAGTTTGAGTTTAGTCACGGCTTCATGTGTGGCGTCATCCGCGATCAAATGCTTCGAGGCCAGCTAGACAAATTGAGCGCACGTGTTGTTGATCTCCGCGAGCAGCAACAAAAGCGGCTGCGTCACAACTTTTTTTCCAAGGCGAATGGAAGTCTTTTTCGTCCACAGCAATTGGTTGTACCAGCTTCAGGCGACGACGGTGATGTTTGGCGAGCGCATACTCCAATGGCACATCCTGGCAATTCGCGATCTCCAGTGTACAGTGATGGGGGGCGGGATCGCCTACTTGTCTGTTGTAGTCCGCACACGGGAAATGAAATAAACGGATCACAGCAAGGTGTCAACACGAGCGACATGGGTGTTGTTGCGTCTAGTTCATCGGCCAAGCCGTCCACGACGAAGGTGCTCCACGACAGCGAATATGAAGACGATTCATCGCCAATCATGAGCCCGAGCAGCACATTTTCCATGTCTTGGTTCTCGTCCAACAGCACTCTTCGCGCACTGCCAACGTTCATGCGGTTGAAGTCAAGCTATGTGGTCGTCAAAAAGCACAGTAGCATGTTCTCGCACCTGAAATTGAAGGGACTCAAGAACACTCGACAATGGAAGTCACGCTATGCTGTGCTTCAAAACGCACGGTTGCTGCTGCAGTACGAAGAAAGCGACCCGATCGCAGACATCTCAGAAACAGCTGCACCACTCCAAGCTGGTATTTCGCACGGCACATCGCTCTCTCTCAAAGGCGCTAGAGTCTGTGCGTGTGACCCAGAGGTGGCCGGTAGAGCCAACTGCTTCCAAGTTGAGGTCTACGAGTGGATGAAGCAGGGAAATGTGTTCAGGGATGAACGTCGTGCGTTCACTATCGGGGTCGAATGTGCGGACGAAGTCGAAAGCTGGATCTATATGATTCGCTTTGCCATTGAATCTCTTGAAAGCTGAGTGCATGTCCGCACAGAGATGGCCTGGCAAAGCACTGTTGTTAAACTGAAAAAAATAGACTTTAGAAGTAAGGTAATAAAATACCATTTAAATTATTGCGAGCCCGAAGGGTATAACAATTGGTGACTGAGCGCAAGGTGCATGAACATGCAGAACTTGATTCAGTTCTATGGACTGAATCACTGATAGTAAAGGACGAGCTCCAGAGCTTGCTCCCCTATCTCACTAAATCTAAATACCCTCTCTCCAAAGACGTATGCATCCACGCAAGTTTAGACGCTCCTTGGTGCACATGTGTGTACTAAGGTACGAGGCACCTTGCTAATTTGTCAGTAGATGACCTCTCATACCGTGTGTGGTAACATTTGGTGCTGTTTAACTGTCCAACCTGCTGGCCATCTCATGAAATGTCACGCAGTCACCATGTTCATTGCATCGCTGCACGGTCGTAAAAGTGGATAGAGTATAATAAGTTTGATCCACTTTATTTTGGGTACACCAAAGCTGCTTGGCGGCTCGTCAGAATGATTCGCATGCACGCACATGTTGGTAACACAATTACCATCCACCAGTGCAGGGCACCGAGATGCCGTTAAGAAACTGTTGCATCTCTCTCTACTTCTCGTACCTCATACTAGTTCCCATAGCACAGATGCTACTAGTAATGCTTTCAAGCGCCTGGTTCCACTTGGCATTATCGTAGATTCAAGGAATGCTCAGCCCATGACTTCCGCTTACAGCAGGAGAAGTGCCATAACAACGAATAAATCCAGAAGGCACAAGCTCAATCGCGCCTTGTCGGTTAGAAGTACCTCCTTGCGCCCACGACAACCACTGTTAAGTCGAGCACACAAGTGCCACAACCATATAAAATCACACAAATCTACAAGCATTCCCAACGCACACCTCACATTTGCGTGGAGTTTTGCCAGCACTGTAGCATAGTCCCAGACTTTCGGCTTCAATAGTCCTGCTGCAATTCTTCTCCTGCTCCTGCTCATTTTCTGTAAGATGTCTTTTTATCTAGCGAAGAGCTGTGACTTGTTTTCGGTCATCTCGAACGTAGCCGTACCCTGCGCACGCCGCTGTAGAGCTGCTAAGGCTTGGTTACTCAGCATATCGCTCAAATGTGTGGTCTTCTTTTGCCTGTCAAGCCTCAACATCTTTAACAAGCCGTTGCTCCCTCTCTATCGGGTGCGATTATAAGAGTTGAGGTCTATCTTTTTGCCGTGTTTTGCGAAGCTGATTACACGTACAACATTAAGAAATAAACGCTGACAATGAGCGACGTCATGCCCAATAATTGTGCACATTTGTATCATTGCTTTTGATCATACTGTCATCATAGCACCATGCGAATATCGTCTTCATCTCATTTCCCTTCTTCTCAGCCCCTATCAGCCGGCATATCTCTCTCCCCTTATACCGACTTTCGTCACAACAGCTATGACGTCGTACAGCCGGACAGTTGGCGGCAAGTTAACGCTCAAGGGCGGGGTCCCTCTCAAGCCAACAAAGAAGCGCAAGCACACGAAGAAACAAGCGAAAAGTCAAGAGGGTGCGACCCCGGAACATACCTCGTCACATTCCAGTGGTCATACCGTTGCGAGCACTTATGACCTGGTTAAAATTCGCGGGTCCGGTCGCCTGTTAAGCTCGGGTACGACATTGATGGGTCAAGTGGGTACAAAATTTCTCCAGGAGTTGAAAGTTGGCGACGCGCTTGTCATACAGCATCCCACGTCCCTCGTAGACGAGACACGCATTGTGCGGATGGTCCTTAGTGACGTATCGGCTAGTGTTAGCTCAGCTTTTAGCTCGGATTTAGTGTCGTCGACTCCTTTTTACTATATCCGAGCCCCCCCGGCTGATGAAAAGCACGAGGGAGAAGAGTTGGAGGCGAGGACAAAGAAGCGCCAAAAGGATGAGGAGACGGCGTTTGGAACGTATGCGGGGGGTACGGAGAAAGGGGGACAATTGACCTATCGTGTTAAGAAAAGCGGCGCTTATGGCGGATACGCAATTGTCAAGGAAGTACGTGGTGAAGAGAGGGGGTGATTTTGGGGGCAGTGGTTGACTGGTGACGGCCTTTTTTGATGTGTTCTTTTTGGTGTTGGTAGGATGCGAGTGAGGAGCGGAGTCGTGAAGATTTGCTGGACATCCGGGCGAAGAAGAAAGGAGATCGACATTGCATGTGATCGTTGCACTGGGATGAATGGACGGGATGGGAGACTGTTTGATTGGAGTATTGCTGAGAGGGTCGTGTGGTGATGGAGGTGGGGTGCTGAATACTTGTTGCCGACGATGGTATAAGCATGAGGAGCAGGGCGATGATTGCAGCAAAAAGGGATCAATAAAGAAGCGATTTGTACGACTGACGGGTAATGTCGTTTGCCTGATGTGATGCAACGCGACCGGGTGGTGTTACGTATTCGCAGCCCAAATTACGGCGATGGGCGACTTCTATTCTGCTGGTTCACCTGATTCCCGATTCGGTCGGAACTGGGTCTAGGGCCTGTTTTGTCGATTCGACATCTCCCCCCAATTCGTTATGACTTCGAATGGGTGACTGAGCCCCGAGGCTGCTTGGTAGGTACTCGCAGAGGTCGTATGCTGTCAGAAGTTTGTCTCATTCGCTTGAAGCAGGCCGCAGACGGGCTGCAATTTTATGGAATGCACAAATAATTGTGATTTCAAGATACATTGGTGTGGTTCACGCAGAGAGAGATCAGTATCACTGATGAGGCATACTGTTGTATCACACACACTAAGCTATGATACCGTAGACTATCGGTTATGGTTAGAGGGTTTCTATCGTAATAGGGTCTTCATAACACGGTGAAGTTCTGGTGCGGTACACAAGAAAAACTACCATGCGGACCATGCGATTAGGTATCACAACGTCAAGGTTAAAGGCGTAAGTGAGGTTTGTTATCGCTATAAATCAGTAAATACATTCAGTTCCCCTTTTAAACATTCACGTGTCTTTCTAAGACGTCTCTAGCCGTATGGGTTAAGTGCCTGAGTTAAGGCTAAGGACTCGAGGGCATTAGTGCCACGTGAATCCTTCGAGTCGTAGTTTCCTGAACCAGGACGAAAAGCTTAAAAGCTTGTATGTAACGAGATTACACGACGGTTGTTGAATCGGTTATCTCGTGTGTCCACACCAAGTTATGATCGGTGGATCTGTGTGGTACAGTCTTGGTACCACGTACTTACGGTGATACTGCACTTTATCGGGTAAGGATAAGGGATCAGACTTCCGTCATAGGATCGCAATGCAGAAGTCAGTCAGACAAGGTTTTATGGTTTCATTACCGTACTTAAAGAGCAAATAAAGTTCAGTCTCTTTTGAATCGTGGACACAAGTGCCTAGTCAAGGCGTAGTATGTTGTTAAGAGCATTAGCCTTGTGAAGGCGCTTACTCTCGTTTAACTAGTAGTAACTGTAACGGGGTGAATCGTTACATAACAATTTATAAGAAATTGTTAATAGAATATAACTATAAGAGTTATATTCTCAGAATATTGTCATAAGGACAAATATTCTGTAGCACTTACAAGTAGTTCCTAATTGGTTGATATAGGCCATTATATCAACCAACGAAGACGCGCCACGACAGACGCACGCGATGAGTGGTGAGCAGATAACTGATTTACACATTTGTATTTAGACATAGTTAGATGAAGATAAATAGTGAATTATTGCAGACATTAACTATTATAAATACAGTTCTACTTTTTACTTTAACCAAGTACTCGCTTCTTCTTACCGTCTTCCTCTGCACGTACGAGTGTACGTGAAGTTACGAGGCACCGCCTTATTCTGTCATCAGAATAAGTAGCTTGTACTGTCACCAGTACAAGCTTCAGGGTGCCCCGTTACAGTAACTAGTTAGTGTGTGATTCTGTGAATCGTAATCCCTTTAAAACCGGGATTGTTAAGATTTTACGCTTCAACGACTGAACATCGTTCTAAGTTTCTTATAACTAAGAGACTCTTCGAGTCTTTGACTTACTCTGTTAAGGAGCACTAAGTAGCTTAGCTACATTGTACATACACTTAAAGTTAAGTCTCACCAAGTCTGCAAGACTTGATACTCTTATGCGTAATACTAGTTTAAAATGATGTACTGAGAGACTCAACGAGTCTAGAAGTTTTCCTATGACAAAGAGGTGAGCGTTGCTCCGCTACACTTGGTAGCACTAACTATGATTCAGTAAGATACTGTTCCTCTGTAAGGATGGAAACAAATATAGGCCGCTTAGGGAGCTAAAGAATAGCGTTCGATATATCAGAATGCTAGTCGGGAACGAACAGTATAATTAACGCACAATGTCTTGAGGTGATTCGTGAACGTCTAAACTCTTTCACGCAATTTTAGTCTACTTTAATTAAGCAAGTACACGATGATTTGTCATCGTTTATGCCTACTCGGTATGTCCCCGTACCTCATGAAGAGCTAAGGGCTTGACATCTTTTCTTTGCTGTAAAGAAATTTGAGGAAAAAGAAGAGGAGAATCCCCTCCTATGAATTAGAGAGGTGAAAATGGCCATGAGGATCCGCTATGCTCCGCTTTAATCAACAGCGAGTTGGGATGGCTATCTCAGAACTGGGGGTCGATACTGAGAATGGGATCTCACGTGTGGCACATCGGTAGACGGAGCTTTCGACACAAGAGATTTGATAGTACAGCAAATGTCCCAAGTGTTTGCTCCGTCAAACTAGACATTTTATGTGCGTTCTCGTTTCTTGTTTGCCTGTCCGGTAAAGAAAGAACCATATGATAAAGTCCTGTTACTAAAAACTTTAATCGCTTCCATGCAGCTTAATCCCTTGCCAGAAATGGTTTTGGTTACCATCGTTTTGGAGGACATTCGTACGAGGTGGATCCAACGGAAGTATTCCGAGCAAGCTTCACCTCCTTTAAGGCTGCTGTAAATATCGCGATGAACGCTAATTTTAACCTTGAGGCGGCCTAAATGAACTCCTTTAGTTCATTTAGCGGGATGAAGCCTTTGGACCTCAGTCTCACGGAGACGGACGAAGAATCAGAGGTTTAAGCTGTAGAACAGCATTGAAACATTCGACAATGTGTCATTTACGGAAGCACGAAGCATCTTCGACCTAATTGCCTTTTACATCGAGCACACCAGACTATTTAAGGCCGAGCTCCCGTCTCTAAACAGAAAATTAGTACGGTGCGGTAAAACGCAGACATCCAGTAGGCGCGAGGCGCCCTGCTGGGGAAGAACTAGTTTCTTTTGACTCTATAGGAGGCAGTGCTGAGCGAAGTTTAGCCCAAAGTAATCTCGTACGCTCTAACACGGGACGTGAATACAAGCGAGAATTGTTGTTTGCAAAGGCGACTTATAAGGGCTTTGACAAACCCTGGTCGATTTTGATCGACTTCAAATCGTCTGTTAATTATGTCAGACGCTGTTTCAGTGAAGGTAATACACGTTATGTTGAAGCGCTGGAAGCGGAAAAGATGATACGATCACTTTTGCCGGCGACAAGAACTTTAGTCACGGCATCCAAAGATCCTGCGGACTTGGGTGTAAAGTTTTTGCTTATGATGGTATCGAACGCTGTTCAGTCCTTGATTCGGACTCGAGATGTAGTCTCAGTCTTGTCATGGCTTGTCATGAGTGGTATGAGCCATGAATTAACTGGATGTAGAAATCATTAGGAGCTAGGCAAACTGCCCCTAGCGAACCTTTAGAAATGTATGATCCCATCTCTGTTAGATATCAGAAGCGATATCGGCGCGAGCCACTGGCTGACAATGTCGTTGTGTTGGACATCGGAGTGTCAGATAAAGATGATTTTTTCCATTGTGTAGGACATCGGAGTGTCAGATATAGATGATTTTTTTCCACAATGTCAAAGTCACGAGCATAGAGCAAGGATAGATATGTGATAGCGAAGCGGCACGTACACCGATAAGTGATAGTCGGTGTGGGAGCAGCGTACTGGATTCTGAAATCATTGCTGGACCAGTGTCATGTCATCTGGGGTTGAACCTATCAAATGAGCGTGGAGTGGCACGTAAGTGTCCACTGAGTGACGTCGGCTGTGATAGCGATGCGCTGAACGTCAATATTGACATTGTTGATAAAATACCAAGGCCTCCCAAGCCTGGCTCATAGGTTTCAGGTGTAGTCTCACGTTATTTACGTGATGATGATGTCATGACAAATGACTCAACATCATATGTCGATAGTGACATCGGCGATTGTTTAGAGCAAATTGCGTTCGATGATGGCATCAATCAGAGCGATGCGGTACATTTAGCGTGTCCTATGCCACAAAGTAATGATGCTTATAAATTCATACACCCGTAAACGGAGTGACTGGTGACTGTGATGGTACAATTAGCCTTGAGGTCATACCCTCGCTGAATTCGCTTTTGAAACTCGAAGAGCTGTCGGTCGATCAGTTTGATCACTCAGTAAAGAATGGAGACTTTTTGGGAGGTGGTGTCCTTCGGCACAAAACCATAGAGTTGAACTCTTTATCACTTTTGAATAAAACCGTTCTGGAGGACACATAAGCATTACTCAGTGCGCTTAGTGGGTCGTCAATACTAAAATACCCTCATGATCCATTTTATTCGTATTCATGAAAATCTAAGATGTAGTGTGTGTACGACCCACCTCTGTTTTACTTTTAGATCGATGTTTCCACCATGAAATTGACTTAGATCACGGGACTAAACACTGTGTCACACGACAGTTGCTCTTGCCTAAGCAGCGATGTGATGTCATTGATGACTTCTTCTGTGTGAAATTCAAGACGGAAATGTTATGTAAGAGTAAATCTCCACGTTTGACACAGAAATTCTGCGCCAATGATCCGGACTGTAAGTGTAGTATTGTGCTTGCTTATAACAAGCTTAATGCGGCCACTATTCCGGCACAGACACCCACTCTCGAGAAGAATACTTTTTAAAACAACATGTTTGGTTGAACTATGTATAGCGCACTAGAATTAGTTGATGGATATTGTCAACTGCTCATGCGCGCGAGTGTACTCCACTTACAACAATGGGTACCACGAGTGGTATGCTATGGGAATGGCTGGTGATGCCCCAAGAGTTGTACAATGCTCCAACAAAATTTGATCGTATGGCGACGCAACTTTCCCTTCCACATTATGATTACACAAAGACGTACTTAACGACATTCTTGTCCA